CAACGAACTTCAACTTACCAAAAATTAACTTGAAAGGCTTGTCCGTGTCCATTTCATGACCACTTTAATTTAATTATATGATAAAATTGATAATACGAAGTGTTGTGATTCTTTTAATAAAATAAGACAATTGAAAAGAATATTACCATTTAACTTATTTGTGTAACTATTTTGATACTTAGTAAAAACGATCTTAGTTATTTGAAAGTTGAATAATTAAAGAACATCCTAATAATAATAGAATAGAATAACGACAAAATAGAAATATGAGAGAAATAATTTTGTGTGCAACTCCAATCAAACCTCAATACGAATTTCTATTTGTTGATTGCTTCAAAACATTGAAAACTGAATAAGCGCTTCTTCCAATTGAACTGAATGTTGCAATGTTGACATCGAATAATCCAAGCGATGTGATTTTCAACTCTTTCCTGTTGCATTCAGTGAAGATCATCAAAGCTCTCTTGAATGTCATATCTCCATCAATCCAATTTGATTGAAAGATTGAAGTAGTGAGCGTTGATGAAGCTATCGACAGTTCATTTCCAAAGTAGCAAGGAAGGAATATTTCAAGCAGCATCGGGATGAGAAACGTTATAATTCGAATTAATTGTGTCAAGTTTTCAGTCTATGGAATTATATAATAGTAAATCTCAGATTAATAGTAACTAAATTCAAACTTACAACAGACATGGTAAACACTCCAGTACATAAAGTAAGCGAACTCATAATTCCTTGAAAGAAAATTGTTTCGGCAAAGTTGCCATGAATGTCTTTGATGAAAAGTTTAATTTCCTGATGTATTGTGACGCATTGAACGAGTTCTTCAATGGTTTTGATTTTCTTTAAACGTTCCGAAAGTTCTCTGAGTAATCCAATAGCAAATGCCATGAATATCACTGGCAACATACATAAACTTATATCCAGTATTCCAGTTGGAAATGAATGCAAAACCAAAATATATGACGCAATCCAAAAACCGACTTCACTTGTTTCTTTGTTAGTATCGAAAGGAAACCAAAACTTATAAGGTACTTTGTTGTTTATCACGGGAACAAAAGCTCCTGATGTTAGAGTTAAGATTCCAGAGAAAAGAAATGCCAGATAAACTTTGTAGCAGAAAGAAACTTCTTGTCTAATAAACTTCCGATCTTTGATCGAAGCTTCGTGATCAGTTTTCCTTAAAAGTTTGTTGAGAGCTTCCACTGATGTTTTGATTTTATTTATCTTTCTGAAGAAGTTTATACTTCTTAATGACAGTGCTATAAAAGTTGTGGTCAAAGCCAAACCTTCAGAGAAATCCATTAAATCAGCAGCATTAATCAAGTAAGTCAGTTGACCAAAAATATAAACATAAATAACTATGAAATGGAAAAAATATCCACAAACAAAGTAAATCCAGGATTGTTCACCATCCTGCAACATTCCAATTTTTTTTAAAATAAAAAAAGTCAACTTGAAAGGTTTGTATAACTCCGCATCCATTTTTTGACCACTTCAATTGAATCGTACGGTAAAATTGACCACGCTAGACGATGTAAATTTTTCAAATAGAAAAGATATTAAAAAAAATAATTACATTTAGCCTAATTGTGTAATTATTTCGACACTTAATAAAAACGATCTTTAAAACATTTAAGTAAAATTTATTTAATCGAACCACAGCTGTGGCTACAATATCGTGAATGACAATTAATTACCTGAAAATTAATTTCTGAATTATTTTGCTGAAACAAATTTCAAGTTACATATTTGAAAGCTGAATAATTCCAACAAGATGAACAACTCCAGTCAAACCTCAATGCGAATTTCTATTTGTTGATTGCTTCAAAACATTGAAAACTGAATATGCGCTTCTTCCAATTGAACTGAATGTTGCAATGTTGACATCGAATAATCCAAGCGATGTGATTTTCAACTCTTTCCTGTTGCATTCAGTGAAGATCATCAAAGCTCTTTTGAATTTCATATCTCCATCAATCCAATTTGATTGAAAGATTGAAGTAGTGAGCGTTGATGAAGCTATCGACAGTTCATTTCCAAAGTAGCAAGGAAGGAATATTTCAAGCAGCATCGGGATGAGAAACGTTATAATTCGAATTAATTGTGTCAAGTTTTCAGTCTATGGAATTATATAATAGTAAGTTTCAGACTATTAGTAACTAAATTCAAACTTACAACAGACATGGTAAACACCCCAGTACATAAAGTAAGCGAACTCATAATTCCTTGAAAGAAAATTGCTTCAGCAAAATTGTCATGAATGTCTTTGATGAAAAGTTTAACTTCTTTATGAATAACGACACATTGAACGAGTTCATGGTTGTTTCTTATTTTCTTCAAACGTTCCGAAAGCTCTCTAAGAAATCCAATAGCAAATGCCATGAATATCACTGGGAAAGTATCTAAAGTTATATCAAGGGTACTTATTGGAATAGAATTAAACACGAGATAATAAGATGAGATCCAAAATCCAACTTCGTTTGTCTCCTTATTCGTATCAAAAGGAAACCAAACTTTATAAGGTGATTTGCTACTTAAAACCGGAGCGAAAGCTCCTGATATGACAGTCACAATTGCAGAACTCCAAAAGATCAAATACACTTTATAGCATAGTGAAACTTCTTGTCTTATCAGCTTACGGCCAAAATTAGTTTCATGATCAGTTTTCTCAAGAAGATTGTTGATGTTTTCCATCGATCTTTTAATCCTTTTTAACTTCATGAAAAAGTTATAGCTTTTGAATGCTTGCGCAACAAATGTTGTGGTCAATACGAACGCTTCAGCAAAATCCAGTAAGTCAGCAGAATTAATCAAATAAATCACTTGACCAAAGATATAAAGATAAACAAACACGAAATGAAATAAATATCCACAAACAAAATAAGTCCAAGTTTGTTCACCATCCTGCCACATTNATATAACAATTGACACAAGATAAAAAGATTCACCAATAACAAATGCAACAAATATCCAAAAATAAAATATGCCCAAGTTTGTTCACCATCCTGCCACATTCCAAACCATTGGAACTTTTTGAAAATTAATTTAAAAGGTTTGAATAGTTCAATATCCATTATGATGACAATTTTAATTTAAAACTTATCCGATTGAAAGTCGAAAGAGAATTGAAAGACGACAAAAAAATTACTTCGCATTCATATTTAAGCAGTATTTCAAATTATTAGAATGGTTAAAAAAGTAGTCTAAAATCAAATATTAAAACATCAATAGGTGGATTAACAAAAAAAGATTAATTAAAAAATGTCAGGAAGAAGAAGAAGAACACAACAAGAACACTCGGAAAAATCATTTTCCATAAGGATCGTCATTCACCGAAATTAAAAACTTAATTTCAAAGACAATTAAATAAATATAATTATACAAACGTAGATAATAAACTTGATTTTTTAATAAATTAACCACTAAACACGCACAACTGAAGGAATTTAACTACTGAATAATTATTGAATTTTTACATTAGATTGAAACAATTTGTATTTAATTGCATATACATATTTATTGATACATTAGACATAAATATCTAAACATTCTACAGTCTAGAAATGTTCACTATTCTTGAGATACTTCAGAATAGTTGAACCATGGCATTTGATTATAGTTTCATATTAACTATGATATAGGTAACTGATCATGATTTAATCTTCCAATGTAGCAAGGAAGGAATATTTCAAGCACCATAAACGTTGTCATTTTAATAAAATCGGTGATACTTTTAGTCTAAGCATAATTATGATAAAACTATTACATATATTAATTCATATTTCGTCCACAATAAATATATTAAACACTTACAATTGACAAAGTGAACACTCCAGTACACTCATCCAAGAGTCCAATCTCAAACGCCATAAAAGTTACAGGTAGAATGTCTAATGCCATGTCAATTGCACTGCCGAAAAATGAATTGAAAACAACAAGAAATGATGCAACCCAGAAGCCAAGTTCATTCTTTTCTATATCAGTTTCAAATGGAAACCAAACTTTATACGGCAACTTGTGATTGATGAAAGGAACAAATACTCCAGCAGTACACATGACAAGGGCAGATGACCAAAGCATTAAATAAATTTTATACGAAAATGCCACTTGTTTCCTTATAAGTTCATGACTCAATAAATCATAATTTTGAGTGATATTCAACAAATCGTTCAATATATCAATCGAAGTCATAATCCTCCTAATATTCCAAAAGAAATTTCTGGTTTAGATGAAACCACAACAGAAGTTATCATAAAATGTAATGCTTGTACGAAATACATCAAATTAACACTATTCACCCAATAAAAGATCTCATTTAATAAAAAGTATCATTACTCAAAATATGCAAAAGATATCAAAAGATGAAGTATCTTCAAAATTGCCACATTCCAACGAACTTCAACTTAGCAAAAATTAACTTGAAAGGCTTGTCCGTGTCCATTTCATGACCACTTTAATTTAATTATATGATAAAATTGATAATACGAAGTGTTGTGATTCTTTTAATAAAATAAGACAATTGAAAAGAATATTACCATTTAACTTATTTGTGTAACTATTTTGATACTTAGTAAAAACGATCTTAGTTATTTGAAAGTTGAATAATTAAAGAACATCCTAATAATAATAGAATAGAATAACGACAAAATAGAAATATGAGAGAAATAATTTTGTGTGCAACTCCAATCAAACCTCAATACGAATTTCTATTTGTTGATTGCTTCAAAACATTGAAAACTGAATAAGCGCTTCTTCCAATTGAACTGAATGTTGCAATGTTGACATCGAATAATCCAAGCGATGTGATTTTCAACTCTTTCCTGTTGCATTCAGTGAAGATCATCAAAGCTCTCTTGAATGTCATATCTCCATCAATCCAATTTGATTGAAAGATTGAAGTAGTGAGCGTTGATGAAGCTATCGACAGTTCATTTCCAAAGTAGCAAGGAAGGAATATTTCAAGCAGCATCGGGATGAGAAACGTTATAATTCGAATTAATTGTGTCAAGTTTTCAGTCTATGGAATTATATAATAGTAAGTTTCAGACTATTAGTAACTAAATTCAAACTTACAACAGACATGGTAAACACCCCAGTACATAAAGTAAGCGAACTCATAATTCCTTGAAAGAAAATTGCTTCAGCAAAATTGTCATGAATGTCTTTGATGAAAAGTTTAACTTCTTTATGAATAACGACACATTGAACGAGTTCATGGTTGTTTCTTATTTTCTTCAAACGTTCCGAAAGCTCTCTAAGAAATCCAATAGCAAATGCCATGAATATCACTGGGAAAGTATCTAAAGTTATATCAAGGGTACTTATTGGAATAGAATTAAACACGAGATAATAAGATGAGATCCAAAATCCAACTTCGTTTGTCTCCTTATTCGTATCAAAAGGAAACCAAACTTTATAAGGTGATTTGCTACTTAAAACCGGAGCGAAAGCTCCTGATATGACAGTCACAATTGCAGAACTCCAAAAGATCAAATACACTTTATAGCATAGTGAAACTTCTTGTCTTATCAGCTTACGGCCAAAATTAGTTTCATGATCAGTTTTCTCAAGAAGATTGTTGATGTTTTCCATCGATCTTTTAATCCTTTTTAACTTCATGAAAAAGTTATAGCTTTTGAATGCTTGCGCAACAAATGTTGTGGTCAATACGAACGCTTCAGCAAAATCCAGTAAGTCAGCAGAATTAATCAAATAAATCACTTGACCAAAGATATAAAGATAAACAAACACGAAATGAAATAAATATCCACAAACAAAATAAGTCCAAGTTTGTTCACCATCCTGCCACATTCCGAGTCGTTTAAAGAAAAACAAACTCAATCTAAAAGGTTTGTATAACTCAGCGTCCATTTTACAACCAGTTCAACAGAGTAATGAGATTAAAATGTTTGGATATGATGCAAGACATCAAGTTATATCGAATTTCTTTAATGAATATGTAAGACGACAGCATAAAAAAAACCCATTTTCTTGATCGAACTTATAATTTTCAACATTATTTCATTTTAATATCTAGTAGAACATCAATATAATTTGTAGTCTTAAACTACAATTTTAAAATGTCCATTACATGACTAAATACATGATTGATTGATCAAACATTTAATAGCTAAAGTGTTTATTACGATTAAGAATTTTTCAAATGAATTTTCCTTTTTTGCTCTAATAACTATCATCAGTGATTGTGAGTTAAAAGTCGGTGCCATTTCAAAATCTCCTTTAAATATAATAAGGAAATTATTTAATTAACTTGCTTCATAACGTTAAAAAATGAATAAGCAGATTTTAAAATGCTACTAAATGTTGCAATGTTGACATCAAATGTTCCAAGTGATGTAATTTTCAAATGTTTTTGACTGCACTCCATGAAAATCATGGCTGCTTTTTTCAATTTCCGATCTTTTTCAATCCATTCAGAATGAAATATTGAAGTGGTGAGAGCTGATGAGGCAACAGAAAGTTTGTTTCCAAAATAGCATGGAAGGAAAATTTCAAGAGTTATTGGAATCAAAAAAACTGTTATAGCTGTGAAATCTCGAGCACTTTCAGTCTGTTAAATAAATCAAAAAGAATAAAATATTAATAGAACCTTTTCAAAATTTAAAGCAACTTACGAATGACATTATAAAAACTCCAGTGCATAAAGTAAGTGAACTAATCAATCCTTGAAAGAAAATTGCTGAAGCAAAATTGTCTTCAATTTCTTTGATGAAATTCTTCACAAATCTATGATTGTTAACACATTCAATCAAATCGTCATACTTTTCGATTTTCATTATCCTTTCTGATAATTGTTTTAAAAATCCTGTCGCAAATGACATTAAAAACACTGGTAGGGTGTCTAATGACACAACAATTGATCCCAGTGCAAAGGCAAGTATTTGAAGATAGATTGTGGCTATCCAATACCCAATTTGACTTTTTTCTTTCACTGTCTCAAATGGAAACCACATCTTGAAAGGTAGCTGGTTGTGGAATATTGGGACGAATCCTGTTAAACTTGAACATGCAAATAACATCCAAAAGATTTTAAAAATCCTGAAAACGATTAAAACTTCTCTTTTCATATGATCATTGTTGCTAAATCTTGAATTCGATATCATTTCGTTTAATGAATCCACTGATTTCTTTATCGATTTTAATTTCCAAATGAAGATAAAACTTTTCATCATTGCTGCAAAAAGTGCAGTTATATGTGAGAATGATTCAATAAAATCCATCACATCAGTTGTTTTCGTCAAATAAACAATTTGAAAGCATAAAATTAATTCAATGAAAACCAAATGAAATAAATATCCAAGGAAAAAATAACTCCAAGTTTGTTTTCCATCTTGCCACAATCCAAAACGTTTTAGAACTTCAAAGCAAAATGCTAAAGGCTTGTAGAGATTTTTGTCCATGTTATTTTATTCTTTTTTCACCAGAATGTAGCAAACAAATGAAGAAGATTTTAACAATGTAGAACAAAATGATTCATTCATAAATAATTCACACAAGAAATTGTGTTAAAGACGTTCAACATTTCATGCATAATTATTTTAATATGAAAACTTTTCATTGTCATCTTAAAATAAATTTTTTAGATATTTGTTTTTAATCTGAAGAATTATTCTTTACTTAGAAGTAATTTAGAAAGAAAATTGATGTATTTATATCAATGAAAGTAAATTTATAATGATCATCAACAACTATTTCGTTTAACAAAATCTATAACTTCTTGTTTCTGAAATTAAATTCCAAATGTGTTAAAATTATCTAATAAAGTTGTGTTTACAAATCCACACAATCATTTCGGATTTACATTCTTCTGAGTATAACAGAACACTTCTGACAAATGGCATGCATGAGTATGTTTTGAAGATGAGCGATATATGTAATGTACATAAATTTGTATCACTTCCCTCAAGATTTCCCTGATTTGTTTACTTTTGTCATAATGAAATGAAAAACACAAGTTTTGCTTATTCACTGTTGATTGATTAATAACGATTAACGATGCATTAAATGGAATATGAATTAAACATTTAAATTAAACAAAATTAAGTACAAGTAAACATTTATGATGAATTGTTTTTCTGTAAAAGAAATGTTTCTTCTTGTTATAGCTTAAAAAATTATCTAGTTCAAATAAAGAACAACTTTCAATTTGCAAAACATTTTATTGATGCCTCAGAACGATAAAAGTCTTTCAATATTTTCCATTAATTGGTTTCAACGAAGCCAGAAATTGTCGTGTCTTCTACATAAGAAGCTTATTGAAATGAAATAAAGAAGCAACAGAAGTTGTTGTTGTTTAAAGAATTGTAAGTAATCATTGTTCTTTTATTCAATTTCTTAAAATATTTAATTGTGAACATTTTTAAAATCTTTTTATATTAAAATAAAAAAAATTCATTGAACAAAACAATTTATTAAGATTATTTAAATTCAACGAATACTTTTCAAGGACTTTTCAATATTTCGATAGATATTCGGTGGAATGACATCTAAAAGCAATTTTTGATAATGACTGTGAATTGAAAGCTGCTTGAAGAGTTCTTTAGTGTAGTTTCTTGTTTCCAAGCTTCCTTCCATGAGAAGATTAGCGCCTGTCAAAATCAAACGATCACGAATATCTTTATGAAGATTAAAAACCTTATCACAGCCAACCCGGAAAACCAATTGACACAAAAGCTTTGCAGTTGTACAACGTACGGCGGCATTCTGATGAGTTGCACCACGAAATGTTAAAATCAAAACAACTTTACTTGGATGAAGCGCATCGCACATTGATTCGAGTGCTTTCAAAGCATCTGCCCGAAGAAATTTATTTGTGTCAGCTGTTCGATTCAACAATGCTGATGCTAGCTCTTCAGCATCAGCATCCAATGCTTTCGCATTTGTGATAAAGAATTCACTTGCAGCTGAACAAGCAGCTCTTGAAACTTGTGATCTGAGATTCTTAACATGCTTGGCGAGTGCAATAGTCAATAAATGAATTTGCGTGTCGACATATTCAGGATGATGTCGAATCAAACGAACAAAAATCACCAAGCCATCCATAACATTCTCCCAACTTGAACTATCAAGTTGACTCAAACAAGTTTGTATTGCATCTTTAGGTCGCTCAAATCTCCTTAGTGAAGGTGGAAAGAGATGACTGTTTGCTACTTTATTACTGTTGTGACGTAACATCAAAGGAACTTGAGAAGGTTGGTTGATGTTTGGCATTGGATTCTTTACTGGCGTGACTTTATGATTTCTCTTCAAAGGTGCTTGACGTTTAACTCTACTTGGAGATCGCTGAATTGTTATCGTAATTTCTTCGGGAGGTTGAGGTGAAAATGCTTGTTGATATTCAATATTCTCAACATCAATTGTTTCATTATCATCTTCAGCTTCATTATCTTTACTTGTTGTTGCTTGTGAGTCAGTCAATGGTTCGAAACATTCTTGATTTGCACTTTCATCGATTTCATCTAAGCCATGAGACATCATGACATCTTCAAGACGAGCTGCTGTTGTGGAATCATAAGGAGAATCCAATGTTTGAATATCGTCTAGAACATCATCAGGTTTTGGTGTTACAACACGATGAAAAGGACTCTCGGGTTTAAGAATCGACTTCGGTGTAGTTGGTCTTGATGATATTTTCGGATTTGAGTTGCGTTCAACTTCCTCAATGGTCACAAAATCCATTGACGTCTTCGGTCTTGGAGGTGGTAAATCAACATCGTCATTATCAAAAGTTTTACTTGAAGTCACCGATTTCGGTCTTGATGTTTGATGCTTTGGTGATGTTGTAAATGCTTGTTGCTTTTGAATCTGCACCATTTCCATTCGAACATTTTCAATCACTGATTGAATTTGCGCAATTTCATTTCTAACATGTGCAATTTCACTTGAGGTAGGTTCTTTTGATAGGTGCATTGGTGTAGAGTTGAAGGAATTTTGATTGTTATCGTTGTCGGAAAGAATGTGACTGTTGGTTTTTCTTATTTGTTCTTCCATGAAATTTTCAAGAATGTGGCTGTTACTTTTGTTTCCACTTATTCGTCTTGTTTGTTCTTCAACATAATTTTCAACCATTTCTTTGTTATCGATATCTTCTGATATTCTTGACTTAGGTTGAGTCTTAACGACATCCTGTTCACTTCTTGTATCATCACTCTCCACCAAACTGATGGTTGTTGTTAGCGGCTGAATCGTCAATTCATTTCCATTTTGCTTCGCACTAAAAATATTTAAAGGGAATTATATTAAAAATTAAGTTTACCATCACCCACTCCATATAACCGTGAATCTAAATTTCCTTAAATGTTGAATATTTAATCAAAGGCAATGCGATGAAAAAGTAGTAGAAAATCAATAAATTGAGTATAATGGACAACAGCATAGATAGAATTGAAATAAAATGTTTTTCGTGTTTTAGCGTGCTCAATTCAAAGCTTAAAATGAACGCAACTTTTATAACACTAATTACTCTCCAACCATTTCGATCTGATTTATTTTCTTTAGAAAAATAAATCCAAAATAAACACGAGAAAGGCCAGAAGTGTAAGTTTGGGGTTTATGAAATAAACACGAAGACATTTTCTTTAATTTGGAGGTCATCTTGAAACTTTAATCAGTAAACTCACTTTTCCGACGATGTAATAATTGGTGACTCTTTTGCAAGCTCAATGTTGTCAATATTTAAAGAAGAAGAGTTGAGTGTGTGGCCATTCACATGATTAGATATTCCATTCTGTTTGGCTGTGTCGACACGTTTTCGTCTTCGTACGAGACAACAGCAACAAATTCGAAATAATAAAGGATTTTCAATAACAAAACGCTCAATTGAATGAGAATCAATCATCATTTGGCCATTAAATGACTTTGAATTGTCACTAAAGCACGACGAAGACATTATATACATGATTTGTGCAAAAACTTCCTAATTGAGATGGAAAACTTCATGAAGTTAAAGAAATTAGAGCAACTTTTGATCGTTAAGTTTGGTGGCCTATTTCTTAACTGAGAATTTTCACCAACGGTATGTTCGATAAATAACCTGGTTAGAAACTAAACTAAAATGAAAATTCTTTCTTCTCTGTCCACTCGTAAGCGATTAAATAGTTCTTTTTTCGTTTTGTTGAGCTTTTTTCCTCTCTGAAATCAAAAGCTTTTCTCTCTTCTTGTCGCACATGCTCTCAGAAAACTGACCACAAACTTAAACAACACTTTTTTTTATAATTTTAATTCACATCATGCAAAGAGTCATGAAACCAAAGAAGAAAGTTCTTTGACAGGAGTTCACGAATCTAAACTTTCCTGTGAACTTTTATATGTATAATCAGAATTAGAATTCTCTAAACACGAAATCGTTTTTTTGTTAAGCTTATGACACGAGCTTCAACTTTTAAGTAGACGATTGAGAATTTATTTTTTTTAAGAAGTGAAAAGTTTATGATGTAAATGCGTAGGTTACACTATTACGACTGTTCTAAGTGGAAAGGTGAAAGCAATACATGTTTGAGTCTTTATTCGAGTCGAGTAAATGAAAGTTTACATTGAGGTGGCGCATTAAAGCGATACAAAACTACCAAAAATAAAATCACGATAGAACTTGGCTATTGAATCGACTTGTGGGGGACTGTCTGAGCTTTTAGGTCGAAAACTTATACAATTTCTTTTACAACAATAATACTCAATACTAGTATTTTATTCAAATCCATGTCAAGGTTTCATCATGAAAGGAAATAAGTAAGTAATAAGTTGATGTGACTTCATTGACGTATGATTCATGTTCCATTAATTTTTTTTCGCAGTCTCAAATATTTTCCTTAACGAGTGAATTTCCATAGTCTGGGAATGTAACTATAATTAATTTCCATCAAGAAAATTTCTCATCAAGCGAATTTCAAAAGAAATCTTGGAGGTGAATGTGAATATATTTAAGTAGATTCTCAATTAATAGCGTAAAATATGCTTAGTCAGAATTCACGGCAACTATTTAAGCAAAAGAGTGTAAAACTACTTTGCCTCTTAATATCCTTAGATTTCCACTAAACGATTGTATTTATGCGACATTGAACTATTTTTAACTTTAACTGACCAAGAAAGGTTTTCAAGTTTGTTGTTCATGTCCATTGTCTACTTAAATATGAATTTATCGCATGACGATTTAAGAAAGAATATTTCCCTGGATGGTTAATCAGGAAAGTTTGATCGCTTAGTAGATAGATTTATTATAATGATCTAATTTCATTCGCTCATAAGCGAAGCTAAACATTCAAACCCCATTAAGTAGAGAGGGAAAATGGAATTTTATCTTCACTATAAATATCTAAATAGAATTTAAAAAACCCCAGTAAAAGTAAAAAATATTGATTCTCGTGAGTAAAATATCCATTTTTCTCTTATTACTACTTATTTTGTAAATAATCATTTACACGTCCAGCTGAGTTGTGAAAAAAAATCAATAACTTGCCTGCTTTTTCTTTGATTGCTTTCAAGTTGTTCAACGACCGGTCGCTTATTTTTATACGGATATTGCTGATTGTTATTGGTCGGTGGATGTGTTCTGGGACGTGAATCTATATGAATCGTTTGAATTTTCGTCGAGCCTAAATTTGAAACACTCATCAAACTAATAATGATATTGTTGTTAATCTCATTTCTTACCAGTAGATTCTCCAAAAACTTCATCAGAATAATTTCCTTTATTTTTAAAAACTGGATCAAAGCTGTAAGGATTTTGATTGGATACATATGAGTTGTTACTTTTAACACCAGTTTCTACTGCAGGAAACCTGAAAAGTTTATTCAACATTAATCATATATGAACAAGATTGATTTGTAATGACATACTTTGTGGAAGCAACTGGTAGCTTCATTTGTTCATGTTTTATTGTCGAAGCTTGATTATCGGAATTTTGTCTTACGGGAGGTTTTTCTCGCTTTGCATCAGAAAGCTCAGGAAATGACCTCGAATGCAGTTTACCATAAAATCGGCCTAAAAATAATTAATGAGTTTAATAACATAAATTACCTAAATTTTACATATTAAGTTTTGTATTGTTTTAAATTAAATTTACCTGTAGATTCTATCGGCTTTTGAACTGTTTGGATAGCTGTTCCTGCGATGTAGCCATGGTCTTCATCCTAGGGAGCAAAAAGGGAACGTTTTTAAACAATATTTCTAATAAAACGCCGGCGATCATCAAAACAGCAAAATTTCATTTGAATGTTCAACATGCGACATGCGATGGAAACATGCGAAAAGCCATGCGATGAAGAAAAACTCGTTTATTGGAAATCTACACAGGCAATTCCAAAACGAATGGAAATCTCTGCTCAGTAAAAACTGAGCCTTGAACATTTGCTTCAATTCTATCATAAATTGGATTTATTTAAAAGCAAATTTTAGACTACGAAAGCGTTTTCATGGTCAGGTTTTATGCTGCGCTAAACTTTTAATTTTTACATTTTTGAAAATTTGAAAACTAAAGAGAATTATGAGTTTCGCTAATAGAATGATGACATGATTTGGAAAGCAAATAATTTCATTCGCTTTAAAGCACATTTTCCAATTCGATTTTAAGATTTGTTAAACAAATGATGTGAGAAAAACTAAGTTTCAATTAGAATAATTTTAATGATTACGAAGTTCATTTCGGTTTTAAATTTTTAAACTATCATAGTTACATATCTAAGAAGTTCAATTTATGAGAAATAATATCAACAAACTTTAATTGAAAACTCATTATAAATGGAACAATAAAGTTGAATAAACATTTTTTTTTCGTTTACCAACTAATAAGAAACGCAATAAGTTCTTCAATTTATTAATAATAAACTTGCTTCATGAATCATAATGAAAACGATTCACAATTCTTAAAAATTTATATCATGTCATGATGTTGATGTTTGAATGAAGTACTAAGAAAATCGCATGACCGTCATTTATAAATCCTTATTGTGCTGTGAAGGTATAAAAATTGCTATAATAAACACTTATTTTTTAATTTCTAACTATCTGATAAGATAAGATAATGAAGCTTTTATAAAAATTGATTTTACAATTCACACTTTCATTCATAATTAATGTTCAATATATTGAATCAAGTGCAATAACTCACCGAGCCTGAGCTGTTTTTCACAGGTATTCTTGACCATGGACTCTTTTTTGTTGGTGTACCAGTATTTCCATTTGCGTATCGATTTAAGCCATCAGTAATCCTACGGAAAGTGTCAGGATAAATTAAAATTATGAATAATTAAATGAACATCTAAGATTGAAGGTCCGACAGTGAAACCAAATACTTAGAAACTCGAATAGGAAAACAATAGAAGAAAGAATGAAGCGACTTGTAACGAAAATGCTGAATGATTCCCAATCTCGACAGCAATCAACAAAAGTCTGATTGAAAAAACACTTAAGTGTGTCTACAATCATTTATTATAATGTATAACATTGGACGAATCCATTTCATTCAACATGAAGGTAAAATATTGATTATCTTTTTTATTATCATTTTGAGCTTCATATAACTATGCTTTCTTACTTTTTTACTTCATAGTACAGTGAGAACAACAATAAATTAACGAAGGATTATAAAATAGCAGCTTTACCAACCTTCTTTCATCGAAAGGTCTTCCTGAGTCTTGTCCCTGAATTTTGTATGATCGATTTTTCGTTGAAGTTGGTGAAACTGACCCACTTCCTGAACATATCCATTCAATGTCAGATCCAAACATTATCACTGAACCGACATTTGATGATGTTGGAACTTTAAGTGCATATTGAACATCACCATCAGCATGAACAAGTGGCAATTGCTTTCTTGCTAAACGAGCCTTAACAGCAGCAATAAGAAGCAGTCCATCTTTTCGATATTCGGCAACTTTTGTTACTACTTCAGTTACTATTTTAGGTGAACTAATTTGACCAAGAACAGCAAGAACGTCGAGAGCTGCCTGTCTCACTCGCTTTTTTCGATCTAATGCTGCTTTTGCTGTGCGTTCTACACAATTGGCGACATCAAAATATGTACTGGGAAACGTCAAAAGGGCATAAATAACCATTTGGAGTGCATTTTCACGAAATTTTGAACTTCTGGCTTGAAGAAATTCATTTGATAAAAGTTTAAGAACAATTGCAGCTGTTGGAAGGCGCTGCATTAAATTCTTTGCCACAAGATTCGCACCAGCTCCACCTTGTCGACACAATCCAGTGACAATTTGTGAAACATGATCTTCAAGATTCTCGAGTGGTAGACGAGAAATTAAATTCGATAAGACACGTCGTCGATCTTCTAACACATCAGGATGATTTTCAGCTGATAACAATGTTCGAAGAAGTGAATCAAGATAAGGTTGCACCAATGCTAAGTTGTCAGATAATTTCAATGCATCTTCCATAGCACAAATTGCTTTCGAACGTAAACGGAAATCCTAAAAAAGAACAAAAATTATGTTTTAATGCGATTTTAATCAGAACAGAAAAGGGATAAGAGAAGTGTAAAAACTCTCATTACATTCGCTTCACAAATGGCAAAAAAAATTGGAATGGAACTCAACACCGTAAAATATTATTTTATGTTTCCGGATATTTTCCGCAGCGTTTAATATTTTCCCCTTTTTTCCTAAAATCTGTGTCAATTGGATGGAAAAGTAGAAGAAAGTCGAGTCATTTCACTTTTCTTTCCTCCATCCCACTTAATGAAAAGTTAAATTCCGGCAAACAAATGTTGCCCAACATGCTGCATGTTGCTCGCTATTTGTTCTCAAGTTTAAGACTAATAACAGTTTCAGAGCAAATAAATGTCAGAAAAGTNCAAAGGTAAGAGAAAGAATTTTAATAAGAAATTTGTTGCTAATTCAATGACAATGATGATCGTTCGATGATGATTATGTAGGGTTTGACGTTATGCGAATATTATGCGATTATGCAAAATTTGTGCGAATAATATTCATTTTCATATGCGATTGTGCGCATACTGAAAAAAAGTTTTGTATGAAAAATGACCAAAATTTAAATGTTCATTTATTATCTAATTAGAACCCAAACTGGGGCATTAAAAGAAACAAAGTTGTTTAGGGACATAGTATTGAACGGACAGTTTTATCCTGCTTCATATTTTAGCGGATTGATTGTATAAAACAAGATTATTATCACGATTTCATTATTAGAAGTTCAATAAGGTTACTTTGTTTTTCAGTTCAAGTATAGTTTTTTACAATTTTAACCATGGAAGATGCAAGGATCATGCTGAAACTTAGATTCGCTTCAAGTTTCAAAGCCTTCCATAATATGGCTAATACTGTTAGAGGAAAAATTCATGATTTTCCTGCAAAAACGTTGATTTAATTTTTTCATTTAAAAATTTTCACAATAAGGCCATGTTGCTAGGCAACTATGGTTTTAAAATATTTAAAATGACTAAAAATAGCAAAATTTCTGCGATAACGCATTCTTATTATGGTTTTAGATTGAGAAAATCTTGTCCTAGAACTGATGATTATGATATCAGAAGTCAGAAAGCCGAGAAAAACTTTTATTCAAGAGTAATTTCCATTATTCGCATAATCGCATAAGAAAATGAATATTTCTCGCATACTTGCGAATAAATGCATAAATGCATAATCGCATAAAGAAAAGGTAAAACACTACCTTTTTTTCTAAAATCTGTGTCAATTGGATGGAAAAGTAGAAGAAAGTCGAGTCATTTCACTTTTCTTTCCTCCATCCCACTTAATGAAAAGTTAAATTCCGGCAAACAAACTTTGCCCAACATGCTGCATGTTGCTCGCTATTTGTTCTCAAGTTTAAGACTAATAACAGTTTCAGAGCAAATAAATGTCAGAAAAGTTGCGCATATTTAGGTCAAATTATGAGTAACCCGCGACGTGACGATTGGAATCGCCAACACTCACGCGTTCTATGCTAGAAAGAAAATCGGTTCGCTTTTACTTTACTTTACTAATGACTTGTTCTACATATGTTGTGTATTTGACTTTCCAACAACGAAAATCTACTTTTTAATTACTTGTAGATTTTACTTTACGTTATTTAGGTCTTTCAAAGCACGATAAAAAAATTATTGCTTGTTTAATTTATCAAAGAAAGTGAATTTTCCTTATAGTTTCCTATGAATTTTCATGATTCAGATTGATTTCCGTTAAAGAACTATTCTCAAGTTAATCAAAATGAAAACTTGTTGATTGGTTCTTAAAGAATCTCTTACAATTTAATAAGATTTTAATCATCCATGAAAAAGTTATAAACGATAACAAATTCTAAACCTTTCAACAACTTCATTTAAGGAAATTGAGTGAAAGTTTCTTATCATCATTACAAATAATTGTAAAATGTTTAAATCTACTCCACCCGACAATTAACTTTTACCACTGCTTACTATCGTAGCCCATTTAGCCACTTTTTATTTAGAATATTAAAGTTAAGTTAATCCATTCAACATGCATTTCGGTAGACGGGAATTCAGGTCAAATTCACCAGCCGCTCTTTTTCTGTTGTTGTTGAATAATATCCACGGTGTTCACCCAACTTTGTTATCGCTGTTTAATGTGAAAATCATCATCGCCTGGGGACGAAAGATCGATGAAAAAATTTTCATGCTTTTTGTTTTCTTTTCCCTCACTTTATTTTACTAGACGATATCATTTCACTTATGTGTGTGGCTACTACAAATCCCATTGTTTTATGAATGTTTGTAATTATTTTTTCCAGTTAACAACATCGGAAAAATTAACGTAAATCAGTGGCGGCTTCTGTGCTTTACCTACTCTTAAATAAATTCATTTTTTTGCCACTGTAATTGAACTCATAACATTATTTGTTAAAGAACTTCATATTAATATAAAACGTAAGCTATGCTGTCCTACTTTTAATATTAATTATGAAAATTTTTGTTGACTAAGCAACACTCAACGTGAAAAAATAGCGACAGAAATGAAGTTTTCAACTAGTGAAAGAAAAATGGCAAACATGCACGACTTGTTCAAGATGAGAGATTGTAGCAAACTATGTCATCATAAAACTTTACTTCGAACGAAATATGGAAAATAGACATTTTAACTTTCACTTTTGAGGAAAAAAAATGTAAAGTTCTCATATCCAGTGGAAGAGAATTTTTGATACTGAAGCGCAAACTTTGATGATCATGTTAGTCAGCTAGACAAGCGAAGCAATCAACTTCTCATAATTCAATTTAAATTCATAATTTCTAAGCAATTTAAAGATTTGATATAAATTGAAGGGGCAGTGAAATATGTTTCAGTTTGCATCAAGAGGTTTTAATAAAATGTTTATGAAAAGTTTGAGTGGTTTTGTAATTATTTCAATCTTTGCTGCGACAGAATGTAAACCTTCAACTCTTGACGTTGGGAATAATTGTGTCGCACTTTATCTGAAAGATCAAAAGAAACTTGAAGAAGATTTTCCGACATCTGTTGACATTGATGCATCAAAATGTCGACTTGTCATGCCAATCATTATAAAAGCTTTCGAAGCTGCTCTGTGTTCCAAATTATTAGATCACAAATCAGTCAAAGCTGATTGCGTGGTTGATAAACTTAAAAGTGAAGGTGCTTTGGAGTACATGTTAATGCAGGAAGTTATTTTAATGACAAAAGGATTGGAAGAAGATGACATGAAGATGAGAATTGAGGATATTAAAGAAAAGTTGAGAAATATTTTTGAGGATGCTGCGAAAGTTTGTGAAAGTGATCCAACTTATGCTGGACTTTTTGATGATATTCTTGAAATTAAAAACGAATCTTTATCAGTTTTAAGACAAAATTATTGCTTCACTAAGTTTGTCATAGAAAGTAAATTGATCGATGTCGATAATATTGAAATTAATCCTAAGAAAATTGCAACATCAAACATCGATTGTCAAACATTGATTAAGAATAATAGAATAGAAAGGGAAAAGAAGCTTTTAGACACTTTGAAAACAAGAAATTTATCAAAAGATCAAACTCAATGTATCATAGATAAGTTTCAGATTGAGCGAGCTTTTGATTCGAATCTCGCCCTTGAAGTTCTCGATCAACTTGACATCACACTTGAAGAGAAACGAATAAATCGTGAAAAAATTGCGAAGCAACTCGAAAATTTCATAAAAGCAGTCTTCATGTGTGCTGGACGAGTATCAGGAAACCATAAGGCTAAGAATAGCAGTGAACCTATCTCCATAATGCATTTTTGAACATCTATTAAATAAATAAAATTAATGTTGTTAATTCGATGATCATCTAAACATAAATGAATAAATATTTTTTATACACATACACATTGAATTAATGAAATTGTCTCTTCTGAATGAAATCATCATTTGTCACTCTGCGCTATCAACAATCTTATCAACGTAGATAGATAATTGAATTATTACGCTACCTAAGAAGCGTTCAAAACTGCGAAATAGTTTTAGGCAGAAGCTTAGCTTTTCTAGATCACTCGCGTTTTATGCAAATGCATAAATCAAATCTATGCTTGAATGAAATTGAAACTGACGATCCATGACAATGAAACTGTTCTCGTTTAAAATGCATCATGAAATCAGATCAAAAAGTGTAGTCAAAATGAAGCTATTCGTGATAGTTTTCTTCTCAATTTTGTTTGAAAGTAGCAGCAGTGAACACAACAAGAAATTAAGTGATGACATTAATCAAGCTTGTATCATTCGATTTTTACAAATCACAGGTAAATTTGAAGAAAGTTTTCAAACAACACCAGCACCTGCTGAGTTATGTCGAATTTTACTACCATTGGTATATGCAAATCACAGTGAGAAACTTTGCCTAAGACTTTGGGAAACAAAAAACGTTAAAGCTGATTGTGTTTTCGAAAGAATGAAAAATTCGGGGTTCATTGACTTAGAATTGAAATTTGAAATCTACACAAATTCAAATCATCTCAGTAATATTAATAGAAGAAAAAGAATTTCTGAAGTGATGAGAGAGCAACGCGAAATATTAATCAACACAGCAAAAACATGTAAAAGTGATCCAACTTATGGTGGATTGTTTGATGAGATTCTCGGAATAAATAGTTCGATAATTTTTATGCAAGAGAACAATTGCCTTCTTAAATATGTGATTGAGAACAAATTTCTATACGTGCACAGTGTGAATACAAATCTTAAGAATATTGACACATCCAAAGTGGAATGCAGCACATTTATATTAAAAAGACAAAATGAAACCGAAGAAAAGCTTTTAGAAGCTTTTCGAAAGCGTCAATATTCAAGTGAAGCTATCGTTTGCCTTCTTCAGAAATATCACGATGAGAAGATTTTCGGATGGAATGTCGCTAAAAGTTTTCTTTTCAAACTCAACATATCAGATTCTGCTAGAAAATCTGAAGATTGGAGAATCAGCAAAATTCTCTCTGACTTCAATAAGAAATCATCAAATTGTTTGTATTCTTTCAATTGGAGTCTTTTCAAATGAATAAATGTTATTTTATGTTAGTCACAAAGTTGTAACTAAGTGTTCAATAATTTAATAAAAAGTACCGTTTCCACCACTCATAATCACTTATAGAATTTACTCATTTTATAGGTCCAACGAAAAACGATATATTAGTGTAATTGAAGCTTCACGATAAGGAAGTATTGAAACCGTTATATTTATCAATAATAAATGTATTGTCATTTGAAGATAATTGTCATTGACATCTACTTACATACAACCACAAATACTTTTGTTTCGTTTAGGTTCAATATCCGCAAAAAGAAGCTTCTGTGTAAATACAATTTAAGAACTTTCAAATTATTCAGACAAAGCTTTGTGGAAAGCTTGCTGAATTATTTGTTCGTATTCAAGGTAATTTTTAATACAAACATCAATTGAATAACAAAATGATACAAAGAAGCAAGTTAATATAACTAAGTATCCAAATATAAAGTCATTTTATTATATGAAGATAATTATTTTCTCATTTGTATCGATCGATCTGTTCTTCTGTTGATATAATCAAAAAATAAACATGAACTTAAACATAAGCATGCTTTTAATTTATTCTGTTCATGAATTTTAAATTCATCTTGACATATTTTTTAATTCATTAGATACTTGAAAATTTTTCAATTTATTCACAAAAAGAAAAGTTGGCTACGGTCACTTTTTCTGGGTTCGACATAATTGTTAATGTTTGTTGAGAATTACGATATGAGTAATCACGCTCACTTTAGGAACCACACAACCATTAGATGAAAAGTTAAAGCTTTTATATTATTTCTATCGCTCTATCACGACACTTCATTTCATCATGAAGATTTTGTTAAATGATTATTGATAAAAACAAATCAAAGTTGAAAAATCATTTACGTACTTTTCAGAATTAAGCGATTAAACATGTACATCCCATTACTTATGCATAACGCCCAATTCCGCAAAAGAAAGTAAGAAAAAGAAATAATAAATGTCAATGTACACGCAACTTTCAATTTAAGGACATAAACGAATACTACGACACAGTCGAGTGGGTAAAACCTACTTTTTGTCGTGATTTTCTTTTCGTTTTAAGAACAAGCCGGAAAATCGATGAAATAAAAGAAAGTTGCGAAAACGAAAATTGAAAGTGCATTAAAAACAGTTAATAATTGCCCAGAACTTACCCCACTTTTAAGATCTTTAATAACAAAATAATCCACAATTTCGAGTTCTTCCCATGACTTGTACTGTTGATTTTTAATATTTGGACTTTCTTTTGAACTCGTTGGTGTTGTTTCAAGACTATTAACACCACCACCACCAACTTTTGCACCGAAATTAATCTCATTTCGATTTATTTCATTATAATTATTCGATGATTGAATCATATCACTTGACATTTGATTGTAGGAAACATTGCCGTTAAAAGTCTGAGTTGCCTCTTCAATTCTTGATGATTTCCCATCTTCCAAACTACAAACAGAAGCTCTACGGCTCCTTGAAGGTGAAATCATTGGGCTTCTTTGTAAATTATGTAACATTGTCACTTCGCGATGAACAGCTCTTGGTGATAAACTTGACACGGAACGTCGAAGGATTGTTCGTTCGGGTGATATTGGTCGGTTACGTCTTGCTGGTGAATGAATGTTTGGTGTTGAAGGTGCTGATTTAATTGGGCTATTATTTTTTGATGAATACGATGATGATGATGTGGGTGGAATTGTTACAATTCGTGGCGATACCATCGGTGATGTTGCGGGACGAATTTGATTGATATAACTTTGTTCCGTAGTTTTCTTTATCATGATGTTAGGTGGCGTAAAATGAGCTGGCAAAACCGTTTCGACATCGGGAATTCCAATCGTTAACTCTTGTGAATAATCTGTTGTTGATGACGATGACGATCCGCCTTTGGGTTCTGATTGATTAAAGTTTTTTGTTGGAGAATGAATAACATTAGAATTTGTAAAGTTTTCTTTGACTGGCTTTGCTGAAATTGGTCGAGAAGTTGATGAAGTTGGTCTCATTCCAAGAGAAGATCCAGGTCGAGAAGGGATAGGATCAATTCTTGTAAAACTTGATGATGAATCTTGTCGTGAAAAACTTGAGTTTGGACGTGAGTTAGGCTTTGGTTGTGATAGTTCATTGGAAATTATTGAAGGTTTTCTTCTGGAGTCTTCAAACTTCTTTTCTTTCAAATTATCGATATTCGTTCGAAAAGTATTTAATGACAAAGGTTCATTAATAAATCCAACATTTGCTTGTTTAATGTATTCATTCGTTCCTGAATTATCTGAAGAAATGGAAGAATTATCAGAATCATTTTGAAGTTTAATTGGAAGCTTTAAAGCCGAAGTTGGATCATTCTCATCACTGTGGTCAATTGCATCACTATCCGGTGTTCTCATCTTCACAATTTCCCCACCAAATCTAACTCGTCGTCCATTTTTCGATAAAGAATTCTCGCTACTAAATCTCACGTGATTATTCTCTTCAACACATTTCGGTCTCATTGGCGTGACTGGGTAAGGTGCGCTAAAATCAGTTATAATTCTTTTCGAACCATTTTCATCGTCACTTTCGTCAGTATTCGTGCTTGGGTTTTGTTCTAGAATTCTCATTGTGACTGCTGTTTCTGGAGTGATTTTAATCTCAGTCTCCATGATTATTTTTCCATTGACAATGTTGGTATTTCCACCACCACCACCATTGCATGATGTCACAGTTTCATGACAAATCGTTTGACCATTTGCAGCTGTGTTGTTTTGTGTTCGTAATGATACGCAACTTCCACCACTTTCACTTCCGGATGAATTTCCGTTGAAATCTACTGTCAAACTATTATCTGAGGATGATCTTAAAATTCCACCACTTCCTGCTCTCGGCGATTTTTGACGTTTCGGTGTTCCTAATGTATTACTCAATCGAGTTCTTTCAAATGGGTAAGTTGCATCATAATTACCACCAAAATATTTTGCACTTTCTGGATTATTTATCGGTGCATGAGATGATGGAATATTTCCCTGAATATCTTTTTTAGGAACAAATTTTGAAGCCCAAGGCTTGGTCGGGTCATGTGCTGGTGGCACGTGAAGATCAACATTTGGATCATGAAATGTAGGTCCTTTAGGAAGTCCATAAACCTTGCATAATAAATCAAAATCTTTCTTCACATTCATCGGCATGTATTCATTAAACTCATTTGGTCCCACCATGTCCTTAATTTTTAATAAAATTTTTAATGCAATTTCTTGATAAGTTATCTTCACCATTTTATTAGCTAACGCATCCATCACAGCTTTAACAACATATCCACGCTTCGGCGTTATTAAAATTGGTAAAATTAATGCTGGTAATGCAAGCATCACAGCGACTGTCATTCGACCACCAAAAGGATCTTTTACAGGTCGATCCATTCCATAATTCATAATATCTAACATGACTGTTTCCGGCATTGCAGTTTGAGCTACATAAACTCTCAAAGCATCAAGTGCGCCTTTTCTAACAGCCGGCGCAATATGTCCTAAATTATCAACTAAAGGATGAACTAAACTTTGAATATGATAATCAGCTTGTTGACCCATCACAATCAAAACATCAACAAGAACTCTCAACGCATGTTGTCGCACTTGCCATTCTGGATCATGTAATCGCTCATAAAATTCTTCGAAAACATCTGAAATAATCACTGAACGTGGCATAGAATTTGTTCTAATTATGTGTTCCCAAAGTGGCGTCAATTGTAAAACCGCAAGTCCGCGTGATTGTTTTTCTTCGATCGATGCCCTTCTTTTTTGTGCTTTCAGGGGCGGCGAGGGCGTCGACTGATGGTCTGACGATGTTTCTTCAAACATTTCTTTATTGTAATTGTTTTGATTTTTCGAAAAAACACGACGAAAAAACATTTTGCTTTCTATTTTATGATTAGAAATGTTTTGGAAACTTTTTCGTACACTTCATTTTGTTATTTCCTTTTTTATGTTAAAATGTTCTCCTTTAATAATTATAACAATATTTATTCTAAAGCACTTTTTTTTTCTTCACGACTATACACAATGACGACTGAAACATAACTGACCGACGATAGCCTCACAGTAAACTATATGAATTGGAAAATGTTGTTGGAAATTCATTCACATTGTAGTTCGTTGGAATGAAAGTTGGAAATGTTTTTCTTTGAAAGTACCACGTGGCATGGAATGCTTAATTATGACGTACACAAACATGTAATGTGAGTTTGCCATAACACTTAACAAAATTTATTTAAAATAAAAATTTACAACCAAATGGGAGTTGAAAACGTTTTCTTACTCAAATCTATTGAAATTTTCAACAGTTTATTTTAAATAATCTTTGAAATTTATTTTTATCTTGTACGAAGAAACAAAACGTAAGCTCAAGTAGAAAGTTTCGCAATACACAATCCTAAATTATTTAAACACCAACAAATTTTTTTTGATTTATTGTCAATTATCGGTCGAAGTTTCTTCAAGTATTGGATGCATATAGATATATAAATGTATATAGGTAAGTGGGGGATTTTTAGTCACATTTTAAGATAAGTAATGAAAGCTTATCCTTATCAGACACTTATAATATCATATTATGATTAGTTTTAAAGTAATAAAGTAATAATCAAATGATAAAGTAATGTAATGAAAAGTATAAAAAAGTAAGGCAGGAAATTTCATTTCTTAAAGCTTACTTAAGTAGTGAATAAGAATGGTTGGGTGGAAAATAACAGGCATTGTGTTGTTGTGCATTGCTTCAGTGACAAGTGTGCCAATAATTGATAATGAACAACCACCACAACTAACAGTTCAAGATACTGATCCTGAATCATATGACTTCTTAGCGAGTACACTTGAAGGGAAGGAAGTGAAATTTAATGATGAAGACGATGAAGTGGAATATCGTCTTCCAAATAACACAATTCCTTTGAAATATTATTTGTGGCTTTCAACTAAAGTTGATCAGGAGATTTTTGAATTTTCTGGTCGAGTGAGAATTCATATCAGAGTTTTGGAACCGACACTACTCGTCAAATTACATGCCAGACAATTAAATATTGAATCGATTTCATTAGTTAATGAAGAAGGCGATATTCTGGCTTCTCCATTACTTTCCAACTATGATCTGCAAACGGAAATTCTTTTAATTGTTTTACCAAATGAATTTGCAACAGGCGATGAGCTCTTTTTACATATTGAGTACAATGGGATTCTCAGAGAAGACGGTTCTGGTTTTTATCGAGCAAGTTATATAGACAGTGATGATAAAAGAGTTTGGTTTGCGACAACACAATTTGAAATGACTGATGCAAGACATGCAATGCCTTGTTATGACGAACCAGGTCTACGTGCCATTACCTCACTTTCAATTCAACATTATGGAGCTTACACTGCCATCTCAAACATGCCAGTATTGTCAAGAGAATCTGTTGAGGATGACCCTGATTATGTAACCACCACTTTTATGGACACTCCACCAATGCAATCTTATCTTCTCGCCTTTATCGTTTCGAATTACAAATATAAGTCAAATAACTTTGTAGATGTTGAACAAAGAATTTACGCTAAACCACAAGCAATTGACGATGGTGAATGTGACTTTGCATTAGGCGAAGTTGATCCAATGTTAAGAAAACTTCAAGAATATTTCCAAGTACCTTATCCACTTCCCAAAATGGATCACGCATTGATCAGGGATTATATTTGGGGGGCAATGGAGAACTTTGGTTTGATTACTTATCAAGAAACTAGCATGTTATATGTCGAAGGGAGAGATCCAGTCACGAGAAAAAAAAGCATCATTGAATTAATTGGACATGAATATGTCCATCAATATTTCGGAAACATTATTAATCCTAAATGGTGGAGTTACACATGGTTGAATGAAGGTTTTGCAACATTATTTCAATACTACATTTCGGATTTGATTTATCCCGAATCTGATCATATGGAAAGATTCCAGAACAATGCACAAGCAGCTGCCTTTCGTGTCGATGTAATTGCTTCTGACTCTAAACCATTGAATTATTACGTTGAAACACCGGAAAATATTCGAGCTAAGTTTTCTACAATTTCTTATCAGAAAGGTGGAAGTGTTTTGAGAATGTTCCAATCAGCGATAACAGATGAAACATTTAAAAAAGGATTGTATTATTATTTGGGTGAAATGTATTATACAGCAGCAACACCACAAGATCTTCATAGAAACCTTCAAACAGCTTATGACGAAGACTTCCCTGGAAATGGAGTGGATTTGGATGAAGTCATGACAACATGGGAAGAACAGGCTGGTTATCCACTTGTCAATGTCCAAAGAACAGGATCATCAATCACTATGACTCAAACAAGATATGGTGGCGGTAATGAAATTTACACAATTCCCATTTCATACACAACGAAATCAAATCCAAATTTCGATGACATGACACCGAAATTGTGGATGAGTGAAAATACTGCAGCAATTCCAGATTTCCCAACTAATGACTGGATAATTGTCAATCTCGGATTAAATGGATATTACAGAGTCAATTATGACGCAAGCTTATGGCAATCACTTATCGAAGGTCTCAAGGAAAATCACCAAATGATTTCAGCTTATCACAGAAAACAAGCTTTTATCGATATGAACCCTTCAACAAACACTTTGGCTGATGTAACACTCGCTTTCGAATTGATGTCTTACTTATCAGCAGAAACTGATTTGACTGTTTGGAATACCGTGTCAAGAGTCGAGGGAGTTTTCTCGAAATATCTCTTCGGAACAATGGCGCATGAACAATATAATGAATTAATTCTATCAATTGTTCAACCACATTTAACTCGTCTTGGATGGGTTGAAAGAGTTGGAGAGTCGGAAGATGATGCAAATTTGAGAAATGTCGTGGCTTCTTACAGTTGCAGTGCACTTAATCAAGAATGTTTAGATGTTGAGCATCAAAAGCTTTTAGACTTCTTAGCAGGTACCGGATCAGCATCATTTAGAGTTTGTGAAGCAGTTAGAAATGCTGATGGAAACACACACAAATTATTGATTGATACAATGTATGTTCATGACGACAAACTCAATTTTATTCAAAATTTAGGATGTTCCTTGAATGCTGATATCTTAAAGAATTATTTGTCAATAATTCTCGATCCATTTAATGGATTGAGTGTTGGAGAACGAGCTCAAATATTGCTGTACACTTATCGACATAGTGCTACAGCTTTGCAAACAACTTTGGAATTCATTCATGAAAATTTCGGAGCATTGGATCATGTGTAAGTGAAATTTATTGAAAAGCAGTCGACACACTTGACACTCTTTTAATTTTTATTTCAGATTGGGCGATTCTTTGAAAGATCAATTGCTTTCAATGACAAGCTACATCAACGACAATATTTACTTCGATGTTTATAAAAGAATTTTAAGTGCCATGCAAGCTGAAAACTTTTTAACATCAGCTGAAGTTACAACAAGAACAAATGCCGTTAATTCAAACATTGAATGGGTAAACAGCAACTGGCAAAGTGTTGCAGCATATTTGAATATTCAAGAAACAACAACGACAACAACAGAAGCAACGACAACGACAGGTTCCCCAGATTCAATAACAACTTCTACAGAAGGGGCAGAAACAACAACTGGTGCATCCCCATCATTTATTGCATCGTTAATTTTAATCGTTGCTTGTTTTGTTTCCAACCTTTTAATCTAAGCTTCTCCAAAATATTTTTGCTGAATTCATAATAAAAATTGCTTTTGATTATTTGCAAAGTATAAAACAAATTTTTTAACAAATTTAATCATTCTTCTAATTCACTTCCACTATCAGCACCTTCAGCTCCAATTCCAACTAGCAATTCAAAACTCATGTCACGATTCAAGTTGAATAATGAAGATTCTGATGGATCGTTGCCAAGTCCAAGTATTCTTAAACGTCGTTCTTCGACAAGATTGTTTCGTGCTTGATGAGTATAATCACGAATGTTTAGAAGACCTCGCATGACATTTGTTGTTAATGCTGATCTGACAATTCCCATATCAGTAGCTTCAAGCCATTCGTTCTTTTCCGGCACATAACATTCACAATGAGAGATTGTTACAACGCCATTAAATCCACCAACAGCAAGAATCATATCGTCGATAATTTCAAGACCAAAATTACTTCTTGGATGAAACATTTCTTTGATGAAAGTCCATGTTCGGCGATCTGGATCGTATTTCTCTCCTGTGTTCATTCGTGATAGTCCATTGAATCCACCTAGAAATAATCTAGTAAGTTGAAATGCCATTTAAGTGAAAAACAATCATCACCAATGACAAAAATTATTCCTCGATGTGATGCACATGAAACACCAGATCGACGAGTTAACATGGGCGGTAATAAAGTCCAAGTATTTGTCTCAGGTGTGTAATATTCAGCAGTGTTCAAACATTCTTGTCCATTAAAGCCACCAGTGATGAAGATCTTTCCATTCATGACACATGCATCAGCGTCAGATCTTTGAAAGTTCATTGGTGCTATCATCGTCCACTGATTTGTCCTTGGATTATATCGTTCAGCAGTGTTTTGTCGTGTTTGACCATCATACCCACCAAGTGCATAAATTAATCCATTAAGTGACACAACTGACACATAACATCTTCGATTATGCATCGGTGCAATTTCACGCCAAGTTTTTTTAACTGCATCAAATCGAGTGCATGTGTTGAAATAGTCATGGCCATTAAAACCGCCGCAACAATAAAGTTTTGTACCAATGACAGCAGTTCCGTGATAACTTCTTGGACCTGAAGGATCTTCATGATAAATTCGAACCCATCGATCAGCTCTTGTGTCATAAGTCTCAATGACTGATTGAGGTGCACCTTCGCTCCAACCACCAATCGCAAATATCACCTCATGTGGAAGACGTGGAACTGCAATAGCTGGCATTTTCATTTCACTACTTTTGACAGAAATAGTTTCAAGATCACAAAGAAATCGCATCGTTTCAAGAATTATTGGTCGAGTTTCTTGATCATTTTTCACGTAATGATTTTCTTTGACATTTTCCATAAAAAACTTGAAAACAATTGTGAGAAAATGTTGTTTAATAAATGTTAAAAACTTACTGAACTTGTCAACAATCCCAAACGTATTGCTTGCATTAATTTACATAAATATTGCTTTCTCTTTTCGGGTTGATAATTTATCCATCGTAATACGCACTCCCACACAACGTTTTCCTCCTAACAACACTCAAAACTGATTTAAAAAGTATTTAAATAAATTTTTATTACCTTCACGTTAAGCATTTCATCGTTGACGATGCCATAAAAGTCATCAATGTCCAATTCCAGTAAATCTTTACAATCAACAGCAACGTGAATGAAATTTTCGACAATGTAACCGCGTGATTTTTCCATTAATCGTGGAATTGATCGATATCTATCATTGTAGTTGTGATTAAGATGTTAAAGTTGTTGTGAAAATTGTTATTGTTACCTTGACATTAACCAAAACAGAACACAATTTTCAGATGAAAGATGTTTTATGATGAAATCAATGCAATAGTTGATAAGTCCATGAATTCCAAAATAATCCGAGATGAATAATATTCCAACTACATTCGAATCCATTATTCCGTTTATGTCTCTCAGATAAGCGTATCTGATAATCACTTCCATCTTCTCTGTTGAAGCAATTCCGATGACTGATGTTGATGTGACGTTTTCGGGGTTTAAAGTTGTTATGAAAAGAGTTCTGAAATAATCACTACATGCACTTATGATATTTCTATGAACATTAAAACAACTATCTTCAGTTATTATCTTTGCATCACAGAGCTGATTATTTATTCGCATCTCATTGAGTCTGCACATGGCTTCTCGACTTATAGATTGTCGCGGTGTCGGTTCTTCATCATCACTATCAACTAAGTTATCAACAGATTCTGTTTCTAACGGAAGAAGTGGACCTTCAAATAACATAATCATCAGTTAAACAATTTAGAAACTTTTTAATTTTAATAATTTGTCTGAAAATAGAAAGGAAAATTTTAATTAGGAAGAAGAATTTTCCCAAAACTTCAAATTCTGGGAATAATTTTATGATTACTAAGATTTGTAGAATGAGTTATAAGAAAGAGATGAGCGGCATCCATCGATGAATGTCAAGTATCGCTTTCGAATCATTTTAAATTGTAAAGCTAAGATAAATAATCTCATAACTGTAGATAATCTAATTCCTAGTAATTCGTAAGAAGCTAAAAGGTTAAGCTTCCGATTGAAACAGCAAAATAAAAGCTTTCTTATGTCATATAATTTTTTTTATTTATAAAACCAGACTTGAAAAACATATTTCGAGTTATTTTATTACAATTTTATTAAAATAATTATGACAATTGTTGAATTATTCAAAGTATGTGACACTTGAATGCTTTGTAAAATTTTAACGACCTGCGAGTTTGTGATCATGCGCATCATTTTCCAATCGAGATATTTTTATATAAATAAGATTACAATCTCATGATAGAATTCATTTTAGAAGGAAATTTAGACCGTTTCAAGTACTTTTTTGTTTTTCAGTTGAATTTCTAGGGAGAAGCTATGGGGAGAGATGTGTAAGAAAGAAAATTAATTAAGTGTTGAAATTTATCTTCATTCTTTGTCTTTTCAAGTAGTGCGATCAGATTAGTGGTTTTGATTCTACTTGCTGTTCTTGTTAGCTTCTGTTGCTGTAATGAAATTGCACCAGCAATAATAGAAGGTCCGACTAAAGCTCCAATTGGATGTCACAAACGAAGTTATTCTTATAAAGTTACACGTGAGTAAACTTTCTATTTCAATTTAATTCATGAAATTTATTTCTCTCTTTCGAACAGAATCTGATATGAAAGGAAATACTTGCAGTGGTGTAATAACAGTTAACGCATGTTGGGGTCGCTGTGATTCGAAAGAGATTTCAGATTGGAAGTTTCCATTTAAGAAATCTCATCATCCGGTTTGTGTACATTCTGGAAGAACTAAAGTGATTGTGATGCTTCAAGAATGTGATCCGAATGCAAGTATTGAAGCTCGAAAATATGAATACATGGAGGCGTTGACTTGTTCATGTCAAATTTGTTCATCAATTGACACATCGTGTGAATCACCACAAGCACTTCAAAAAGCCATGAGTATCAACAAACTCATCACAACTGACATCGAAGAAGATTATTCACTTATTGGAGATAAATATTAAACATGTAACATAAATCATTTACTTTCCTTGAACCAATGATCAAATGTGTGTTTGTATTTAAACAATTTTTAATAAAATTTAATCGTACATGAATTCATTCCTTTAAATCAACTTTTTCTTTGCACTTCCCACAATACTTTAATTTCCCAAGTGATTGAAGCATTTTCCGGTTAAAGATTTTGCAGGTTTTCCTTTTCTACAGGAAATCTATGAAATTCAACTAAATGGAGAATTTTAGAAAACATCTAGCCAGACAAATTCCCTTTGAGACTTTAAGAGCTGAAATTGAATCCAATGAAATAAAAAAAGAAACTTACGTCGAGAAATTTTCTTTTAATTTATTGAGCTTTTAGGCGAATTGAATGTTTCATATCGAAAGAGTCTAATCTCCTAAGAATGTGACATTTAAAGTCAGTATGGGAATAAATGTAATAAAAATTCAAGGAAAAGAATTTTCCTTTTCCCCAGTTCTTAAAACTTTTATTGATTCTTCGTCATTTTATTGATACACCTACGCCTCAAATTTTTAATCAATTTCATTTAATATTTTATTATTACATGGGAAAATAAGAGGGAAAGCGATAATGTAATCAGAGTGCAGCATTTATCAAGAGATTTAAAGTTTCTTTGTAATAAAAAAAAGGATTTAAGATTTCTTGCAATGGAAACAAGAACATCGAGTCGCGCTTTTAAATGTGACTTCTCGTTTCCCATCAATGCATCCAACTTTAACTTTCATATCTTCAGACTCCATAATATTGCAACACTGTGCAACAGAAGTGATTGGTTGATCAGGACGATGAGTTCCAACAGCAAAATTGCTTGATACCGCAAAACTTTCACAAAATCCACGACAAGCGTTAGTAGTTAAAGAGAATTCGATGCAATCTGGGATGGAAACCTTTCTGGTGTAGCCAACCAAATGACAACCAACTAAATAAAGTGAAATTCGGAATCTTTTTATTTTCAATTATTTTAAACATGCTCACGTTTTGGCTGCCATAAATCTTGGTTTGTGCATTGAACACATGATACAAACGCAATAATTACTACCGTTATCATCCATTTTAAATTCATTTTCAAAGTTTTTTTGTAGAAAATTCCACTTGAATGATTATGAAAATATTTTTCCAAGACTTAATTTGAATACAAATAAACTTCCTTCGTACTTATCGCTTTGATAAGATGGACGTTAACTGAAGTATTTTCACGTCTTCTCAGAGGTTTTAAAACAAAATATTTTCCTCGATTTTGCGCTTTTGAAAAGAAATGTTTCATAACAAGACAACAATTGACCGAAGACCAACGAAAGTCATTTCATTGTTCGTTAAATTTTAACTTGAAATTTATTAAGATTTCTTTTCTTTTGCGTAATTGTTGACGATTATCTGTAAGAAAATCCATACATTAACTTATACAGTGGACATTTTTTCTTTCAAATTGATTAAAAATCATTTTATAGTTCATTTTAATAAACGTCTGATGAAAACTTTTTATTAGTTCTATTTTAATTTCATTAAATACGTAAATAACATAAAGAGAGTTTCATTCAAATATTTTAAAGACTAAAATCATGACCAATTTTTTTTCTACTTTTCATATAATCAATGAAATGATCAAGATTTATTATTTTCTTTTCTTACTTGGCCATATTGCCATTGATTTAAATTACAAGAGCTTTGAAAAACATAAATATGTAAATATTGTTCTTTACAATAAGAAAATGTCCTTCCATTAAATTTGATTTTAATTTTTCTTTTAAGGACGAAAACTTTTTTTATTTCTTATCTTTGCAAACAAACATCTAAGTCAAAGGCTCAAAAACTATCAGAATCTTCTTCAAACAGCTGCTGTCATACATTCGATTCGGAGAAACCTTCTTCGTCACACCAAATGTCGGTCATAGCTTCACTTGCTTCCCATTGAATTGCTGGATCTTTGATGTCTTTCATCAGCTCTTGATTATTCAAGTTTGAGCTGTTGATTGATGGCGTCGATGGACCAGTAGAAGCACACGAAGATATCGAAGCTGAATTCTCTTCTTCATCTTCAGAATTTGAGCAACTGACCATTGCTTCACCAGCTGCCAATTTTGGTCGTCCTTTCTTCAATTGTTTCAATTCACCACTTGCCAATGATGTCGTGTCACAAGTAATCAACCCACGATTTTCACGAGACTTTTTAAATTCTGGTGCAGCGTCACGATGAAATGGTTCAAAATATCCAAAAACTGTTTCATGAGTTAAACTCTCATCACAATCATCACCCGGAAATTTGGTTTCGGTTGGACTTTCATCAAATTGCTTCCATTCAGCATCAAGTGTGTTACTACAAGTGTTTGAAACTGAACGAACGACTTTCTTCTTCGTTTCTCTGATAACTTTATTAGCACTGAGCGATTTTGAACGATTTCTTTTATTTGCTGGAGTTGAACCTTGTGGAAGTGGCTCTAAATGTTGATTTATTAGAGAAGCTGACGCTGATTGTTGAATGCTTGTATTGTTTTGACATTTCTTTCGCTTTGCTATTGGTGATGGTGAACATTTATCAGAACGAAATGAGCCAGCACGTCGAACCATTCGACTTGCAAGAACTTCTGGCTCTTCATCGTCTATTTCCAATACCCATGAAACTGAATCGCTCTTCTCAATAACACCTTTAACAATCGGAGAAATTGGCGGTGAAATTCTTTCATTATCATCATAAAACTCATGACTCATGTCAATCTCACTGAATGTAGCGTTGCTTCGATTGTTTATGGAACTTAATTCATGATAACTCTTTGAAAGTTCATTAATTGTGTGAGAATAACGTTCAGCATTCTGTTTTAAACGCCATTGAAGTTCTTCGTTATGCATTGACAAACGAGTCAACTTCTTATGAATATTGTCGTGAGATTCTTGCGTTTGTTTCACTTTCTTTAGAAGATCCCTAATTGAAAGATGAAAGAAAATTTGAATAAAGTTTCGATTATTTAAGTGAATTTATCTTACTTTTCTTCCTCATGTTTAACACCCAATTGAACTTTGAGATCTTCAAGTCTCGACTCTAAAACAGAACATTTAGCCTGAGCTGCTTGCGTGTCGCCAACTGCACGTTGAAGTTCGCCATTCTGTATTCTTAAATCTGATATTTCACTTTGTTTGAGTTTAAGAACACATTGCAAAGATTCAACTTCATCTTGTAGCAATTGTGACTGATTGAGACTGACGGATTTGTTCAGGAATGATTCGTTGGAATTTTGTGATTGACGACAAATTTTGAGTTCACTTTGATACAAATTTAGCTTTTGCTTGAGTTCACAAATCTCAATTTCAGATTTTGTCTTCGTCTCTTCAAGTCGCTTTGTCAGTTGAATGATCGTTTCATTGAGTTCTTGATCACGTATATTGGCATGATGAAGCTTTTCACTGAACTCCATCTCACTTTTGTGAACTTTTTCTCGAAGTTCATCTTCAGTTATTGTCATCGTTTGAATTCGCTTAAGTAAACTTTCTTCACGTTCCTTAGTTGACTGAAGTTCAGCTTCACGAATGGAAAGTTTTTCATCGGCATTTTTAGTGAATGCGAGAAAATTTATTTCAGATTCTCTTTGATTATGAAGAAGTTTCTCTTCAAGACCTTCGATTGTAACTTTTCTTTCATTTTCGAGATCTTCAAGTTGCTTTTTCACTGAAAGAATTAAATAAAATTTAGTGAAACAATTTTCATGTTAAAAATTCTTTGTTTATCTCACCAGTCGCAATTTCACGTTGATGCAATTCATGAATATCAATTTCACGTTTCTTGAAATATTCTTCACGTTCATTTGATTTCTCAATGATATTTTGATGAGAAAGATTTGTTTCGTTGAGATTATTTTGTACTTCGAGCAATTTCTTTGAGAGTTTCTGTTGAGATTCTTTCAATGATGGGCAAGAAAATGCATCCAACTAACAATAAACAATCATACTTTAGAGATAAAAATGTCACGAAGTTTAATAAAACTTACTTTATAAACTAAATATTGTACAAGTACACCAAGTGCTTCGACTCCTTTATATGCATTCAATAATTCAAATTTCTGCTTCTGATCCTCCACAAATGCTTTTTGATCAACTTGTTTTTGTTTATTATTCTTATTTACTATACGACTACTATTATTGTTTTCAATTTTATTAATTTTAGCCGCTTTTGGTGAGCTGCTTAGACAAATAACATTCTCGCTTATTTTGGAATTACTTAAAGGTTGCAATGCTGATTTTGATGAATGATTTGAACGAATTGATGACCTAGGAGATTCAATTGACAATGATGGAGCAATTGAACGTTTATTGTCTGAAATGAAATGACAAAGCTAAATATTTTAGAATTGACAGTCGAAAGTTTATCTTCTTACCTCTTAATGTCGGCGACTTTTCGGGAGTTGTCGCACTCCACGTTGCTGTAGTTCGAGAAAGTGTCTTCTTAGGAAGTGGCGACTTTTTAAACTCCTTGGAAATTGTGATTGTCGCAACTTCATTTTGCTTTGGTGAATTTTGCTTGTCTGAAATTTGAAAATCAGTAATGAGATGATCAAAATTTATAAATAATTTCCTTAAAGCAATTTACGAAGGTCAAACTCTATTTTTAATTTAATTTAACATGTAATTGCCATAAAATTTCAAGTCATAATTATGATTTTCTTAGTTTGCATTTAAAATTGAATCAAATATTGAAAGGAAATTAATTACAGTAGATACATATGGAAGAATTTTTTACAACAACAAGAGTATGCATAGTCACGGCTGTTGACAAACCTAAGCATTAAATACATTTTCATTGTCACTATAAAGATAATTTTATTCAAGCTATTTTTTTGAAATCTTACGCAAACACAACAAACAGCAATGTCAGAAAAAATGCCAGAACAAGATGTCGATCAACTGCGGTTAAGCGTTCGTCATTCAATAAACTTTCATCTTGGTTAAGGAAAATTAATTTTAGCAAAAAAAATTCTTTGATGTTAAGTAAAATTTAGAGGAAATGAGAGAATCGACGTCAAGGTTTGAAATTTCATTCAAAGCAAATCACAAGACATTTGTTTCTTTCAACCTATTCACACTGTAGAAACGTAAAAGGACAAATCTATTCACAGATCTATCATTAAATACTCACGTAAGTTTGAAATGGTGCGAGGGCTGCTTTTTTGACTTCCAATTGTTCCATTTCCTCTATTCGTCGGGCAAGTTTTGACTGGCGGTGGGCTCGAATCGTACACTGAAGAATCGATTGGAATAACATTACATTTTTTATTTGGACCTGAAATAGAAAAAAAAACGCCAAAAATATTGTAAATGAATTTGCTCTAAAAAATTCATCTAGGTAATTTCTCTTTGTAAAACGCAACTTTGAATTGTCAGACCAATTTATAATGTTTATGATCAGTTTCATTGTTTCTTTTTTCTTGTAAATCTTTCATCTTATTCCAAGTGTTTGCTTAATTATGAACAGTATTTGGAAATTTCTCTAAAATTTATTGCAGTCTAACTGTATTCAGATAATTTTTTTATTTCAAAGTGGAAATGAGAACATCTTTTCATCGTTATCAGTTTTAAAAAGTTTTCCATATGAATTCTTATTTCAAGACTGAATGCTTGAAATATTCTGAATGTTTAATAAAGTTAACCATGACACGTCTGTCTTTCTTTTCTTTATTTTGTTGTTAATCAACCACAACGTTTTAAAGTTTATTAATTTTCATTATAAGCGGTTGAAAAGTAAGTATGTAAACAGGGAAATTGTCCATCATATCTTATGTCTGGAGAACGCAGCAACATTAATGTGAATCAGTAAGAAAAGAAACTTAAATGCTGTCATAAAAAAATGAAAATAAATTCAGTTGATGATAGCCGGTTCTTTTTATTCCCAATCCACATGAAAATAGGTTAACATTCCCAGTTACTTTCTAATATTTATTTGCATGAAACATCATGAGCATGCATCAAAACAATTCATTAAAACCGAGTGATGATTTGTTGATTTATTCTAAATTTTTTACATGTACAATCAGAAACGAATGTTGAGAGTTTTAAGTTCATGTCGTAAGATTTTCTTTCGATATAAATCGTAAAACTTTTGTTTTCTTTTTCTTCTTCTGTGCTCCGTTACTTCAAAAAATCTCACGTTCAGTTTTCTTATTCTTTTCATTGTTAAATTTTTGATATTCTCTTCTTGTGTTCTAATGAGTGCATGAACTGTCGAATCGACATTAAAATCTTTAAGTCAACAGTAAATATTAACACTTAAAACATTTTTACTAAAATTCTCAAAACATCAAAGAAATGAAATTTTACGAGTTACTTTTATTGATGTTGCAGTCATTAAGATATTTACGAGTCAATTTTTATCAATTAAAATTTTTTGAGAAGCATAAAGCCCATAATCGTGACTACTGAGTATTAAAAGTCATTCAAGTTACATCATCTTTACCTTCTTTCTTAATTTTCTTTACAAAACTTCCAAAACGTTCACGTTCTATGACTTTTGTGTGCACAAACCGTTCAGAGGCCGAACGATGCAACTTCTCTTTACTTCCATGTGTACCCATTTTCAACTTATTTTTCTTTCACTTTCACGATATTTTATTTCTCAACTCAAATTTTTAATAATATTCGTTTTTTTATTTAAAACTCAAAAAAATTTCAATTTATTCAGTACGGAATATGTTTAACGAAACTTTTTTTAAAAGTTAATGAAGAGTGGAAAAACTTTTGACATTATTTGCCACGTTTTCAGCGAGTATCACTACAGCGAACTTCACTACTTAAGTATCATCTTTTGTCTCATCATTTCAAAATATTCCACAGGATTTTGAAGATTAAAGCGAACAGAATTTAATATTTCCTCACGTTTGAATTTCCATTCACTTTGATGATATAAAAATAAAAAATGTTTAAACTCTTCTTTATATTTCAAGCAAGTCGAATTCACTTTTGTTAATCTGCAAATTCTTGTCAAATTATTCAAATTTAGAGACCTTAAACTTGATTAAATCACAACTGATCTGTATTCAATGAGAGATGTTTATGTATGTAGATATGCACATAAATATGTATAGACAAATACCAAACAAAATATCGCAGTTTCTTTTTTACTTTCATTCGCTATTTTTCGTCTTCACGTTCACTTCATTTTAATTTCGGCTACAATTGTATTTTTCCATTCCTGATTTCATTCAGATATGTACGTTTTGCACCACAAATCACAATGAAATATTTTAAATACATTATTATCTTTTCTTTCCCCAATTGAAATTCTTTTCACACTGAGAGATTTGCCGCGGTTCTCAAAGTTTCAACTTTTTCAGCAATCGATCTTCTTTGTACAATTGAAGAAGACACGAAATTTAAAGTTTCAATTTCTTTTTTATATTTATTAGTTTTTTTTTGGACGCTTACTTATTTCAACCGGTTTTTAATAATAGAATTTCAAAGCTATTAAATATTTTCTTAAAACAGCACTATTACTAGTTAGTGGCACATCCATTTTCTTCATCTCAACTTCAAAGTGTACGTTGAGTCATTGACATAAATTATTGATTCAGATTTAGACCCTTTCTGTTGACGAAATAAGTATATGTTGCTTCCACGATATCTTTCGCAATGTTTTTTTTCTCTGGTGGCAAAACACAAATATCTATTTAAGAAAATTGAATAACCCACATAAAAAAATTCATTCTTGTTATGCGCACACGGATTAAGTGAATAGAGAGAAGGAAATAAAATCTAACAGAATATGCTCGGTTCGCGAACAAACTCCAACTGACCGAATGTGAGTGAAAAAACAAGAAACGGCAAGCCGATCGGTAGTGTTGGAAAGCATTGCAAAGAAGGTCGCGAGAAAAACTTCGCTCACAAGACTTTTTTTTTCTTTCTCTTTTTTTATATTTTGTTTGTTTCTTTCGTCTTTTGATGGATGCTCTACCTATTTAGATATTTATGTTGAATTATGTGCTTTTGAACTTTATCAACTGGAATTCGAAAATAACTTTTAAAAGCAAATTCTATTTAGAACGATAAAATTTAATGAATAAAAATAAAATGTAGATACTTGAAGACATTAACAATGTGACTAACTTATAAAATATACACATATTTTTTTTTATATTTAATCGCAAATTTTTAAAGTAAGCAAAAGATTTTTGTGTCTCTTTTTCTCTTTATCTGAACTGAACATCTTTAACTTCGAACAAATTCCTTAAGTTTCACCAAAACTTAAAACAAGTTTTTAAGTATGCATTAATTCAAAAAATAAATAAATTTAAAACTTATTTTACGCGTTTTTTTTCTTTCATAGATAAAGATTAGAACAAAGCATTTGTTGGTATGACAATGGTTGAACTACGAAATAAACTTCTATCTTCGTCAATATTTCGTTGAAGACTGAATTTGAGATTTCTTTTTGAGATCTTAAGGGTTGTTGCATTTATTGGATTTTATAATTTATACGAGAGTTTCTGGTTTTTAAAATTATTCAAAGTTTAAACATCCTGAGATGAGAGTATTAAAAAAAAAGCTTTATCTAAATAATCAGTGATTTGAGATTACGTAATTTGTGTGCAAGAAAATATTCACATTTTGCGACAAACGTTTTAAAAAATTTCATCTTGAATGTTACAAAAAGTTGACGAGACTTGAAAGGTGTTAATTGAAATGTCTTTAAATGAAGAAGAATTGTCATCTGTGCTTCTTGTCTCTTGTATGATCATTAGTATAGGACGAACAAAATTTTTTTACAGAACCGTCTTTGCAATGAGTTTTCGAGTAGTGCAGTATTTTATTACAAATTCACAATCACTATATAAAAATTCGACAATTTGTTCAACAACTCTTGAGGTTGGACTGAAAGTGTGATAGTTTACTGCATTTGTTCAAACACAGACCGGTCTGTACGTGAACAGCTTGTTACATGAATGTTTCAGAAATAACTCACTTAATTGAAATTCTAGAAACGCCAATCGTTAAAGGAACAATTAAGGAACTACCTATGTATTAAGGAAAAACGTTTGCAACACTGCGCACCATTTAAAAATTTTAACGTTTCCGAGAATTTTTTAAAAAAATAGCGCCTTAAAGGTATGCAATTTAAAAACCTCTTAAAGCTTTCATGAATGAAAATCTTTATCTAGTCTAGCTGAAGAGAATCTTTATTTAAATTTAAATATGTAGGTATATTAACGATGTAAGAAGAGCATGTAAAACATGTATTAAAAAATAAGCTTTTTAGTGATGCAAAAATTGTAAATCTAAAAATATCATAAAATCTTTACTCACGTTGAACTATCGGCGACGCCCCCGTTGTAGTCAAGTCACTTTGAGATCTTTGCTGAAGTTTTTTACTCGGTGTTCGTCCACTAAAAAAATATTTATTTAATTGTAAAGTGAGACTTTGTATCTACGAAAATTAATTTGATAGGTATTTGATTTTTTTTTCTAAATTGAAATTTAATGTTCTCACACAAGTGAATGCTGATCAAAGTTAAAGACATTAAGTTAACAAAAATTTTTTAATAAAATGAGACAAGAAGGAGTGAAAAATTTCTTAATTTTCTCATGTATAACTTAATTACTTAATTATTTAGCATCATGTTATAAATTTAAATTTTTGAAAGAATAACTCACCATTTATTTCCATTGAATTGTCTACTTGACATTGATGAACCATGATCATCAAATGATGGCGCTTTAGAGGAAAGTGTTCGCTTTACAGCACCACAAGTCACTTTAGATTTGACGTTATCAAAGTTCTTTTTGACATTTATATTCTCAGTGATTTTATTCATAACAGATTCCCATTTACTGCTGTGACTTTTCTTTGATTTATTTTTTAATTCTTCTTGAACTTCGCTTTTAATTTTCGAAACAACTTTCATTCTTTCACTGCTATTAGGACTTGCAGACGATTGTTTTTCTATTTTCTTAGCGCTCAAATTCTCCTCGTTCTTTTTTTTGCGACTAACTGAGACAGACTTTTTAACACCAATCGCTTTCTTAGCTTTCAAAGAGATGCTGCTGTTCTTCTTTTCTTCGTAGCTACACGAATTGTTTGAAACATCGCTGATAAGATTAACACACTCATCTATCATAGAGACGTTACAAACTGATGACAAAGGTTCAGTAGCGATTGCATGACGATGTTCGCTTATTAGTTGTGCGGGTGATGATGGTGATAACATTGTGTTGATATTTTTTTGACTGCAAGCTGTGTGACTGCTACTGAGAGTATCTGAAGACAAGTCAGGTGACATAACATTAGAATTATGAATGTTATTCTCACGTTTCACGACATATTCATCACCACAACAATTTTCTACATCAGTAAACACGCCACTTGATTCCATACATGTATCTCTTTCACTTTGAAGTTGATGTTGAATAAAAACATTCGCTCCCTGAACCATTGGCCCATAAAGTTGACCATCAATGACTTGAGCACGACGTTGATTCTCTCGTTGATGAATAATATCATCAGCATCACTTTCAGTGAAGAAATCAGAATCTGTCATTGGATCATTACAACGATAAGCTGCAGGAGGCGGACGATTAAAGTTCATTACTGGATGAGCGGGAATCTCACGTGGAGCTTTCGAAGGTGTTTGATCAGCACCACGACTTGTAGGACGTGAAAGTTCACCATCGCCAATATATCCAGTGTCAAGTGAAGTGATGCTTGTTATACTTGTTATGATGCTATTAGAAATTTTTGAATTTCCTGACTTTGTCATTTCTGTCTTCGGATCGCTGTCGTTTTGTGAATGCTCTTGATGTGATGATGTTGAAGTTGTTGCCGTTACTTGTTGTAAAGCTTCATTTGTGTTGTCAGTTTTCACTCCAATGGGATCTAATGGTAATTCTTCTGGTGAAGGTGTTTGATCCATTCGATATTGAAGATTCATTTTCCCAGCAATCGCAAGTATTGGCAATTCTAAATTCTTGCTGTGATTAGTTGCAGTTGAATCAAGAAATTCTTTCATCTGATCTGGTGTTAAAATTCCAAGACTTTCATCAACATCATACGATAATTGTTTTTCTTCATCTGCTGATTTCTGTGCCATTGACGATATTGATGTGTCGACAAGTTCAAGTGAACAATCCAAATTACAATCAGTGATGTCAAAGCCGAATGAAAATCTTTTTTGGATATTTAAATCATCGTATGGAGTATTTTGTGAACTTTTTTCGTCATCAACTTCATCAATTTCCATATGATGAACTGAAATCTTCTCCGCATCTTCTTCTGGTGTCATACATAAAAGTTTTGATGGATCTGGTAGTTGATCTTGTGATATCCAACGTTGTGACAATGATAGACGCAAGTAATCGCTACCCTTTTTCATGCTTTGATTTGAATTATCATCACGACTTCTTTTTACCCTCTCGTTCTGATTCAACAGACAGTTTTCTGAGTTGAATGCTTTTGTTTCAGTCAACGATGTTGATGATGATGGTAGTAAGCTTTTATTTGGTTGAAAGATATCGTATTGTTGTTTAGACAATGTAATCGCATCATTCAAATTTTCTTCACTTCCCACCAAGTCAATTGTTTCATCAAATAACAATTCTTCATCACATTTTGCATCAATTTTCTTCATCACATTTTCCTTTTCATCCTTTGGCTTCTGACTAGCAATTTCCTTCTTGATTGAATAGTTATTATGATCAGTATATGGGCGTTGATTAGTCCGAGATGTTGGCGTTAAATTTGATTCACTTGCTTTGGTAATCTGAGTTCTTTTTTGGCAAAATTGTGTTGAATGTGAAAGTCCTCTCTGTTGTTGGGGGACGTCAAATTCTGTGGGACGATTAACTTTTGTGGCTATTGATTTGATATTTGATGTGTTTGCTGGTGTAAATGGAGAAGTCATTTTGGACTGCTGCGATGGAGATGATGTTGATGATCCTAAAGTTGGAATTTGGCTGCTAAAGCCACGCATTGGTATGCGAGATTGATTTTTCTGCAAGTAATTAAGAAGAAAAAAAGATTTCTCTAGCAAATCTATTTTTGATATTTTCCTTTCAATAGAGATTAATTTTTGAAAGTTTCACTTGAAATTTTGGAGTAATAATAAACAACAGACATATGCTTTAAATGTAAAAGGTATTGTACAATTAGGAGGCACATATTTGCCTCATTTATATTTAGCAGTTAAGAGTGTGAGTACAAAATAAAATTGTTGACTTTTCAAATTGAATGTGTGTTAGAGTGAATTGTTTGGAGAATATTATCAAGTTGTACGTGAACTCATTGTGAAGATGAAACTGATGATGATGATAAAGTGATACTGATCTAAATCCAAAAATTAATCTAAACCTCAAATATTTCTTTCACGCTCTAATACGATATTTATAAATGTTTCAAAAGCCTTTTAGAATCCAACTTTCTGGCATCGAACACTTTCCCTCTCTTTCTGAATAATTTTAACAAACGAACAACTTATTTTCTTTTTCATTCCATTCATAAACTTTTTTTTGTCTTTTTTTTTTTATTTGAGTTGACGAATATGAAGTAGTAAAAGTATTAGCATATTATATAAACAAATGTAAAAATGTATGTAATAGCGACTTTTTTCAAATTTTTCTTCTTTCTCTTTAAACTCCTCAAAGCAATAAAAGTTATTCGCGAAATGTCTTTTTTGCTTTGAACGGGCGTCTGAATGGTAGCTAGGGAATACGTAATTAATAATCAAAAAGAATAAAAACACACATAGCTACACACAAACAAATATATGAAAATTTATATTGACCACAAGGTGATTAGGTTCTTATTATATATTTAACTTTTGTTATCATATTTTTTCAAAAGTAGAGCGTATACCTTAGACATTGCTCCTGTTGACAATCACAAATCAAAGCTTTTGTTTTCTTTAAAGACTTAAACACTTTGACACTTTGCTGAGATAATTCTTCATGAGGTTGCTTTCCTCTTCGTTACTTTATTGATTTTTTTTTTCACGAAAACTTAAAACGTATTAAACGTAATATTGCACTGAAAATATTTATTGACGATAAGATTTTTTAATTCACTATCAGAAACAACAAACAAATTTGTGAATTTAAGTACTTTTTAATATGTCATTTAATTAATATTTGACTTTTCACAGTTGAAACAGCTTGAACATTAAAATGCAACGTCTTGACGCTTTCAGGTTTCTCTCGAAAATGGACTGCGTTGATTTCTCTCTCGTATTGGTGTGACGCTCTTGAGCAAGGGGAGACCAGTACTGTTTTTTGCCGCAAATTTCCTTTCTTAGTTCCCCCTTGCTCTTAAACGTTTCACGTGTGTGTGTGTGTACATGTGTACGTACTACGTAGAGGTAAATACGGTAGAACTGCCCATGTTCTTCCTTATAATTCCTTATTTAAACGTTTTAAATAGAATTTTTAATTAAAATGTATCTATTTTCACCTCTTTGGTCGATTGGCGTTAACACATTTTTAACTTAGTAAGCCATTTCCGACATATTTATGAAACATGTTGTTTAGTTACGCTTTCGCATATTTTTTTCAATTGGTTTTCAAATTAATCGAGAATGAAAAATTTCTTTGACTGAAGTTTTTTCATCGAGCCATTCAGAAGTTATAGCAATTTTAAAGGAAATTGTTTTGTTGTTTAAAGAAAATATGATGAGGAATAAAGAAATTAGAATCTTTTGAGTTGATTAGAGAATAAAATTTTATTATGAATTCTTTACATTTTTGCTTTTCCTTGAAGATCACTTGAATATCTGTTTTAATCCAAAACAAGGATTTTTTACAGAACAAATATCGTAACTCTAACCAGCAGATGGAGGTTGATGCATGATTTAATCATTAAATGACTCATAGAATTGAGTCTGTAAAAATAACTTCTGATAATAAAACACGTATTCATATTTTTCAATCAAATTTACAAAATGTATTTAAGTAAAGTACCTAATCATTTCAGCATTTTTTAGTTCTTACGGAAACTGTGAAGTATTGGATAAATATTTTCAAGACTTTCGGCTATTTCTGCTTTTGATTTTGCACCAGTAAACACAAGCTTTCCGTTAACAAATATAAGAAGAACAATTCTTGGTTTGACCATTCTGTAGATGAGCCCAGGAAACAGTTCGGGTTCATATGAGGAAAACTGTCCGTGCATTTGATTCAGGTTTTCCAAGCGAATAGGAAATTTGAGATCAACTGTTGCAACTAAATTCTGAACCTTGAAATCAATGAACTTAACATTATGACCTAATTTTTGTATTATCCGAGCAAATTTTCTAGCTGCAAGGTGTGCATCATGTTCATTTCTTGCTCCTGTACATACTAATTTTCCTGAACGGAACACCAATGAGGTACATCGTGGTTCTCGTATTCGCATAACAACCCCATGAAATCTTTGTGGATTATATTCAGAGTTTCTTGTTCTGAAGTTAATTGTTTGCAGATTCAGTTCACATCCTAACGAAACACTTGCGACACAATTTTGAATCTTCACTGAATTTATAGCTTCTTGTGGTCCGCTTGGCACTACATGAGATGTTTGCGGTAAAGCTACTGACAACTGAAATGATAAATTATTTAAATAGATCCTTAAAACATGTTTTGATGTAAAATATTTTATACCTTCAATGGACTGTTTAAGATTTGTTTCAGAGGAGACTCGTGCTCCATTTTCTATATGATTGATATTAATTACCTAATTTACTTTTAAAAGCGAAAATTTAGTAGTAGATGAAGTTTCAAAAGAATCGAATGTCTTCATTTGTTTACCAAAATTGAACAATTTGAAACGGTTTATAATTTTCAAAAAATAAAAATCCGTTAAATTATTTTTCGAAAAAAATTGAATAAAGTTCTTTATATTTTTATTACTCATCGATTACTCTAGAATCACTACACAAAATTATGTTTTATTTCACAATTGCACAATACAATAAGATATATATTATTCCAATTTAATTTTAAGGTGATTGTTTTCATAAAAAAAAGAAGAATACTTTGTCTCTCAAACCTAAATGAAACTTTTAAGAACGCTACATGAATATTAATGTCACTTTAACTACCTAGGTATATGAATGGAATTTCGTGAAAATCGTAAAAGTACATTCAAATCATTTAACTTCCGGTTAATCATTTTTTGTCTTTTCTGCTTTGATTCCTATCGGAAATGAAATCTCGTAGGTATCTATTTATATTTGGCAGAATTCTAATAAATTTTTTAGTCAAGATATTTAAGTGAGTGTTAAGATTTTTTTGTCAACGCTTTGGTATCAAAGATACTTATGTAAATGAAGAGTTGAATTTTCGTACAAAATACTCAAACATTAAGGTCAATACTTCATAGATAGAGAGAAAGTTTACCCTTCAAAATTAAATTCATAATCTTCGGGGCTATCTGGAATTGGTGGTGGTTCTTTTGAAATATCAACGCCTTCGGTATCCAATAGACGTAATTTAATTTCAACAGATAAAAGTGTCTCGAAATCATCCGCCATTTGCTTGCTCAACATTTGTTGATCGAGAAGACATGCAATTCCTGATAAATTTTAAAAAAAAGTTCAATTAAGATATAAAGGTGAATTTTCAGATAAATTTTAAAATGTACCATCAATCCAATAATTGAATGTCATGTCATCTGGTGCGACAAAATCAAGAGTTTTCTGCTCTCCATTATCATCATAAGCAATGCTGAACAATGTTGATGGTTTTCTTCCTTTCATTTCTTTAATATGTGGACATTCTTTGTTCACCAACAATTGTTTCATTTCATTAACACGGAGCTCACTTTTTAGTTCTTCTTGCAACGGAACAGTTTTCTCATCACAATCACCATAATGAAGAATTTTATGATTTGGTGAAAGTCGAACATACCAAAATTTATCTTTGCTTCTTGTCCCACGAATAAACTTTGAGAATCTCGTCCCTTCAACGAGATATCCCAATCGTTGTTCTTTTATCAGTAAAATTATTTCCGGTCGGATTTTCTCTTTCAAGGTTACAATCGCTGAAGCTGTTGATTCACATTCTTCTCTTGCTGTTCGTTCTTGTTGACGCATTTCTGTGATTTTAAAATAACTCAACTCATTCATCTTTTGGCGAAAACTTTCGAAATCCCGTGGACGTGCTGCGAGATTACGAACAATTTGTTCGCGTACAACATCAAAAACTTTTGAGAAATCTTCATTTGTCGCTCGCATATCTTTCCATGTTTTATTTAATGCCACAATGCAGATACAAAAGAATTCTTCAAATGGATGATCATGTGTGAAGAACATGGGATGAAAATCTTTCATTTGATCAGACGATTCACCTATTTTAAGAATGTCACAGAGAACTTTAACTAACTCGATTGATGTTCTGCCAAATGGACATTCATATTCATCAGCACGACAACTGTTCTCATGAACAACTTTCGTATACAATTGGGAATAATTTCTTGCAAAATAAATCATGCAATCAAGAGCAAGCAATGAAGATTCCATGAAGTCTTGTGCCGGATTGATGTCACATTTAAAACCAAGTTTCTTATAATGTTGTGCTGGATTATTTTGACGTCGAGTGGTTGTATCAGTGCCATCACTTCCTTCACCTTCAAATGCAATTCGACGAAGTTCTTTAATCTTTTCTTGTGCATCTTGATCGACACTTCTATCATTCATTCGCGGCTCTAACATTCCCAATGTCAACGATTGAAGAATGCTGAGTTGATGTGTCATTTCTGTTCCCATTGTTGCGTTTAAGACACACTCGTAGATGACACTTCGATATTGTTTAGTACTGAAAGTATTTGCAATGACTTTTCTCTTCGAATCGTCTGCTTTAATGAAAAGTGCGTTTATTAATGCAATGGTGTTTTGTTGAATTACTGGTGAAGTGTCACGAAGTAGTTTAAGAAGATTCTCAAAAGTGACTGAACGTTCGACGATAAAACATTTCGAACTGTTTTGCACAATATTCTCGAGAATAGAGAGTGACGACTCGATTATGCTTTTTGCGAGATACGGTGGCTCAATAAAAACAATGTTCCGGTTGATAAAAGCTTCACTCAGAATTTCCCACGATACAGTTCCATGATCCATCAACTCAGTGAATGATTTCAATGCAAATTCGAGTCGTTCTCCTGAACACTTGTCATCTTCAATCATCTTTATAAGCAAATCAAGACCAGATTTATTGATGAATTCAGCAGCAAATGTTGGATCCGATGCAAGAGCTGAAAGATTTTGAAGACATCGTGTTTGTTCTAGAAGAGAGCCTGTCTTGAAAATTGTGAGAAAATCGCTGACAGTTTTTGTGGCACTGTAATTGAGTTTCAATACGAAACCATTTTTTACATCGCTACGATTCTTTTCTGTGACATATCCGTCAAATGAACTGTCAGTAAATTTAAGCGAATAATTTTCACAATTTGTGAGATTCCAATTTAAACACAATTCATTAATAATTGATGTTAATGGTTGTCGTTGATCAAATTCAATCAATTGTGGAACATATTGTGGCTCTGTGCTTAACGGCTTCACGGCGATTTTCACTATACTTGCATCTGACTTTACAGGCATTCTTTGTGGAAGCATTAAAAATGAATCACAAAAATTGGGATGGGATAAGATTTTAAATATTTTCCAATATTCACTTCTTACACTTTTCTTAACAAAACTTTTTGTGCTATGAATGAATAGAGACAATATGAATAGATGCACGTTGATTTTACACTTAGTAAATGCTGATAATAACCGTGAAATTATAATTTTAGTTTATAGTTTTACATGTAAACAAAACGAAGGGAATCAGAATCGGTTCATAGTGTTCAGCCTCTTTACAAACCCTGACGAGGAAATATATTTGATCCGGTTCACACTATCCTATTCTTTCCAAACCCTGTCGAGCAACAAAATATATCGGTTCAAAAATAAATTGCCGAATCACGATTAAACTTTTTAAGAAAACATAACTTGTCAAACGTTTAAATTATTATTAAATCTGATCAGAGATAGATAAAACTTTGTTTTGTACATCCGAATTTCAATAAAGTTTGAAAAGAAAACTTAAATAAATAAGATGGATCGCTTACTTAGACTTGGAGGTAAATATTTTCCAAATTTAACATCTAAGTTTTCTAATTTTTAACTAAATTCTTATCATTTCAATTTAAAAATCAAAGATTTTATGACAAAATATACCTTAAGTCTATTATAATTTCGTGAGAAGCTCTAAAAATGAGAGAGGTTAATCAATATTACAATGAGTATGCTAATTTTGTTGTTGTGTTAAATTGTTTAAGGCGCCATGCCAGGATTATCTCAACCGCCCCCACCAACGGATGCTCCTGTCGTCGATACTGCAGAACAGGTTTATATCTCTTCATTAGCTTTATTGAAAATGCTGAAACATGGACGAGCTGGCGTTCCCATGGAAGTTATGGGTTTGATGTTAGGTAAATTAAAAATATCTAAGCAATGAATAAAATGATTTTAACTGTTTGATAATTTAAGGTGAATTCGTTGATGATTATACAGTGCAAGTGATTGATGTTTTTGCTATGCCTCAGACTGGTACTGGTGTTTCCGTCGAAGCTGTTGATCCAGTTTTTCAAGCAAAAATGTTGGATATGTTGAAACAAACTGGTCGTCCTGAGATGGTGGTCGGTTGGTACCATTCGCATCCTGGCTTTGGATGTTGGTTGTCAGGTGTTGATATCAATACTCAACAATCATTTGAAGCGTTAAGCGAACGAGCTGTAGCTGTTGTCGTTGATCCCATTCAATCAGTGAAAGGAAAAGTTGTGATTGATGCTTTCCGTCTGATTAATCCTAATATGTTAGTTTTGGGACAAGAACCACGTCAAACTACATCAAACTTAGGTCATCTTCAGAAGCCATCTGTACAAGCTTTGATTCATGGACTTAATCGTCATTATTACTCAATCAGCATAAATTATCGTAAAAATGAATTGGAGCAAAAAATGCTTCTTAATCTTCATAAGAAATCATGGATGGATGGACTGACACTCGCCAACTATGAAGATCATTGCAGTATCAATGAAACGACAGTCACAGAGATGCTTGAACTCGCCAAGAACTACAATAAAGCTCTCGAAGATGAAGAAAAAATGACACCGGAACAACTGGCGATTAAGAATGTTGGAAAGCAAGATCCAAAACGTCACTTGGAAGAGAAAGTTGACACGCTCATGTCAAATAATATTGTACAGTGTTTAGGTGCAATGCTCGACACTGTTGTATTTAAATAAGAATCTTCATTTGGCTTTATAAACTTTACCTATTTTTCGGTTTTATAATAAATTCTTATTAAAATATGTGATTTAATTGATCACATTTCAAGATTTCAAATTAATTTTTCATTTTATAGTTTTCAGGATTAATCAAAGATTATTTTCTTCATAAATATATTTATTTATTCAATTCATTTGTATCTTGATTCTAAGGCATTGCGATTACAAATAACAACAATCTCTTTATCACTCATTAAATTTCTTTCATTTCTTGGAATCGTAAGGCAAATTTAAGAATTTCATTAAAATGAATAAATTAAAAAATTGTAAATGTGGATGGAATGGATGTAAATACTTAAAGTTTGCGCAAGATGTTTCTTAAATTTAGTTTGTAAGGAAGTTAATAACATAAAGAAAGGAAGTAATGGCTTGGAAATGTCAAATCAACTGCCACAAAATTTCAATGTTTCTTTTTAAAAGATGGCACAAATAACAAATTTTTTTAAACATCTTGTTTTTAATATCCTTAGGAATAACAAATTAAATAAAGTAATTAAGTTATAGTGGGACATCAGCTCATAGCCAGTTGCACAACTAAGGAATGTAAGTTTTGTGACCATTTCTTATTCTCTAAATATATATAAAATTAAAATTTTTCATGAATTAAGCTTCTATTGCTTCTATTCTCTATTGTTGGAAAAGTTGCCAATTTGTTCGAAACTTTACCATCGCTTTATTAGATTGTTTAAAAGCATCATTGCTTTTGATTTTAGAAGTTCACTTCAAAAATTTTCATAAATTCTTTCTTTGTCTTTAAATTTCATATTTTAAATTGTTAAGAATTCAGTAAACAATGCAATTTATGTTGAAAGAAAATTTTATCCAAACAAAAATATCATAAAATTTCGTCATCATGGCGGTAACTTCAAATTTCTCTTTTTTCCACGTTTTAGTTTTTAAATTTTTTTTTCATATTTATATTTTGGTAACTAAACCATTAAGTTTAAGTACATCAGGAATGTCAATGTCTTCAAGTTTAACGTCCAAGTAATTGAAGCCAACACTCAATGGACGAATTTCATTCTCGTTTAATGTGAATGACGCTTTTTCCGACTGTTGAAAATAAAGAAATTAAAAATATTTTCAATTAAATGAATAAATTTCGGATGCTTACAGCATTCAGCTTTTTAGAAAGTTTCTCGATGAACTTCGATGAAATTGGATCTTCACAATCATCCAACGAATAGGATTTAATCAACTTCATAATTTGCGATGGCATAAGTGAAGGACAAATCTCAACAATGCTATCAACATCTGCATCAGATTTTCGAGATTGCATTAAAAGTGCAGCTTCTGTCAATGACATTGATGGTGAAATGACAGTCTTCGGCATTTTCTTTTGTTTCACCCACGATTCGAGACATCCAACATTGAACCTCAACTTCATTCCAGTCTTCCATGTACACAAATCACTTCTCAACATCAAATTATTTAATGCAATAGCACAAATGAAATAAAACAATTGTTGGAAAATCTGCTCGATGTAACAATCATGAAGGCCAAAGAAAATAAATTGCTTGTAGTAATGTTCAAGATGATTAACGAGCGATTGGGGTTCTTGTAAAACTCCATTCGTAGTACCAGGCGAATCCGTCGCCATTACACGTCTACTTTTACCACGTGCTGTCTCATCATGGTAAAGAATTGCTGGGACAATGAGTGGTCTGATCGACTCTTGTATCTGCTTTATAAGCGTCTCATACATGTAGATAATTGCATCGTAAATCACTTGTCGATATTCACTCAAATCAAAATTCTTTAATTGTTGTTGATTTTGTAAATCAGTGTTAAATTGCATGTAGTCTTCATCTCCACCATATTGCTTCAACAGATTATGCAACGTTATTGAATTGACGATCCATAAGATTCTTGTCTCAACTTTATTCGGTAATTTGAACAATTTCTTCACCGATAAAATAAAGTTTGTAAGTAAAGTTTTCACTTGATCGTCGGCATTTAACAAGTCAGTGTAACGAATGCACATGAACAAAATGTAAGCTGGAAGATTTGGAAGCAATGTGATGGCAATTCTTGGCGTGAGATCAGTGACGAGTCGTTGTAAGATTTTCTTCTCGTTAGAATATTGATGTTTTAAGATTCCTTGATAACTTTGTGCTTTCTTTTTAAGTACTGTGACAACATCGCCATTAACATCTGAATTATTCAGAATCATTGAATCAACCAAACCATTTTCTCTCAATCGGTTGGTTAAGATGGAAATTTGTTCTTCAAGTTGTTTAATTTGTCTTTTCGCTGTATTTAGTTTCTCTTGAGTGTCAACATAAGCAGATGATGTACGTTCGACTTCCAATCGTAAGTAACATTCCTTCTGTCGAGCTGATGCTGGTTGATGACCAATTTCCACATCGTCAACATCAATATCAAGTTTGTCTTGGATGATTATCTCTAACATACACTTTTCATTTCGAAGATTATCAATTTCCTTCATCATTTCAGTGAGTTTCATGTTGTGTTCCTCTGTCAATGCTGTGAGTTCCATTTCAAGTTGTTTATTTGCCAACTTTTGTGCTTGGAATGCTTCATTCAAGTCATTACCTTCGTAGCTTCTCATCGAAACATCTTTCGAGTCTGGCTGTGATGCAAATTGACGTAATTGTTGGCTTAATGCTGATTTCAATTGAATGCACTCGTCGCGTCGTCTAAGCGACTCTTCCACAACTGATTTATATTGCGATTCAAGTTCTTGTTGTTCAACACCTCGAATGACACTGTTACGTAGCAATTGATAATCCTGACGCAATTTCGCATTTTCAACTTCAAGTTCAGAGATTTTCAACGAGTCAACGGTGTTCAATGTCATGTTGCTGCTCTTCCTCTTCAACCATTCAACTTCATTACGCAATGAATCACCTTTCATCTTTTCTTCTTCTAAAAGTTTTCTTAAACGAAGCATGAGAACTGTCGTGTCTTGATTTTGTATTGGACTGCTGTTTGATGTTGACGTGACATGTTCTAAGTTAATTTAAAAAGATTCAATTTTATTAAGAAGAAATGTAGCAAATGATAATTAATTATTAATTATGTTAGTTGTCATAATTCCCACATTCAAAAATTAGTAATTTCCTGATATGTAGTTAAAAAACGACAAGAAAATGATCAAGAGAGATCTAATCATAAGTAAACCTTGACCTAAACTTGTCATGCAAACAACAACAAAGAAATTTTACCTTCACGATTCGAGAAACCGAATAAACTTTTCAATTTTCGTTCGATAGTTGATGTTGTCGAAAAACTATTTTGAATGTTGGAATGATGTAAAGAATTAAATTCACCTTCGGAAAATTGTGATGACGATGCATTTGATGATTTGTGATTCTTTTCGAGAGTATTGCGACTTGATGAATACCCAAAATCTTCATCACCAATGATTATTGGATGTTTGAGTTGATCAATTTCTTGTGGACTTGAAATGATCATTTGAAGACGTTTAATTTCTTTTTTAAGTTGAGCATTCTCATGATCCAAGGATACTTTTTGCTTAACTAATTTTTGATAAGCTTGATTAATTTCATTTGTTTCAACTTCACTTAAACTTGCGTTCTTTTCATTTTTCGACGTCTCAATCATTTCATTTAATTGCTTCTTCATTTCTTGTCTCTCAATTTGCCATTGATTCTTCTCAATCAGCCATTCTTCGTCGTCTTTAGTCTTCTCTTCAATTATCGCCATTTTCTCGTCACGTTCCCGATCAAGTTTCTTTTGAACTGAAATTAGCTGATCTTCTTTTTCACTTAGATTCATTTTCACGGTTCTCAATTCATTTTCAATGTTTTTGAAAACTTCCACTTTTGCTCTGAAAATTAAAACAATTAGAAATTAAAAAAAAACGAAAGTTTCTTCATTTTTCTTTACCTCAATTCAGGAATAACAGCAATTTGAGATTTTAGTGCAATGTTCTCTTTGTTTGTGGCATCAAACTTCTGTTGAAGTTGAATGATTTTATTCTCCAATCCTTTATATTTTGTCTGCAAATGTGTTATTGATCGAGCTTCTTCTTTTAACTTTTTAAGTTTCTTTTTAGCCAAGAAACGACGAACACAAGATTGAACAATGACAATGTTTCTAATCTTTCTGTTATAACTTTTTCTCGCCAAATAACCACGACAGTATCTCTGAATTTCTGTTGCTTTGTGATGTTGTAAAACATTTGTAAATCTCTTTCTCGCCAAGTATCCTCGTCCATAACGTTGAATTGCAACAACACTTCGTTTCGCTTTCAAGTACAACCTTCGACGATACCATCCTTTCATGAAACGTTGAATCTGAATTGCAGCACGATTTTCTCGCATTTCTTTTGCTTTTCTGCGTTTGACATTAGAAAAAAAAGATAAATATGAAAAGAAAATTAGTTCATTGAGTCAAGTTTATCAGCTACGTAAATTGATGACATGGTGTGAGTTGTTCTTATCAACTAAAGCGATTTTTTTTTCTTTTCGGGAATTATTTGTCATTTCATGTTTCAAAAAATTAATTTATGTTAAAAATAAAGTGTCATGACATACGAAAGAATTATATTTAATAGTTTTCTCTTAACTTACCGTCTTGCAAACATTCCTCGTGCATGCGCTTGAAGTCCTAAAGCTGTTCTTCTTAGCTTCAAATATCGCCTTCGACAAATAAATCCCCTGATTACCGATTGTATTTTTATGACGTATTTTCGTCTTAAATCACTTCTCAACTGTTCAAGATAAGCAACTTGACCAGCTCTAAAGAATATTTGCGTATGCCCCAATCGATAGCGATCTTCATCTTTCAACAAATTTCTCGCAATATTTGTGCATGTTGCTTTGACATTCCAATCAACGATCTCACTGCGCTTACACAACAATCGGTAACGTTCATAAAAATTGTCATAAGCCCATCGTGATGGAAATCCAGCAGCAGAAATTCTCACAGTTTCTAGTACACCGCATGCTCTCAATTGTTGAACAATCTTACAAGCTTCCCATTTAAATGCCGATTTATCTTCATTTGGTTTAATGCAACGAACATAATGTGGAGTTGTTGAATGAAGTGTTGTAATTAGTTGATTTAAACTCTCGCGAAATTGATGTCCAACTGTCTGTTTATGTTGTTTCGATGGAAGTGTCTGATAAATTTGTTTTTCAAGAAAAATAAAAGAAAATATTTTCAAAAATTACGAGCAAAATAAGATTGTGGGACGAATTGTAGGTACGTTACAAAAAAAAACAATGGCTAATGGGGAGAAAGAAATCTACGAAGAAAAAAGTTCACAAAGTTCTTTCAATGCTTTCATATTCGGCGTTTTCTCGATGATTTTTATCTCACCCAAAATTGATATCTCTCGGATCAAGCAAAAGAATTATTAATAACATTAAACAATCTTATCCACATCAACATATACATTACAAATAAACAAACATAAAAGTTACACTAACTCTTGATTTCATCTCATGTTTAGAGCTCTGTCAATACACAAAAAAAAGCAATAAAGAAAACATTATAAGCGATCAATTCAAGAGCATAAAAGAATTTAAACTCACCTGAAGTTTCGATGCGCTTACAACAACTTTAACACCACGACCTGGAACTGTTGCTGATTTTTCTTTCTCGCTTGTTTTGTCTTCTTTCTCATCGAGTAACATTAAACGTCGACAAAAGTCCATGCCTGAATATTGAACAACACTTACAAGCTCCTTTGAAACCGTGTCACGATTCTTTTCTAGAAAACCTTGGCATTCATATTGAACAGTATCTGAGAAGTGTTTTACCAGGAATGCTCCAGTTCCAAAGCGTGTTTTATCAAAATGTTTATATTTTTTGCATTTTTCATTTAACTTTCCAACCCATGAACTATCAGAACCATTCGGCATTCGACACTCTTCATCAAGAAGATCAAGAATTCCAAGTTTCGATTCAATCAAATCAATGCACGGTTGGTTGTCGTAAAAGTCTATCATTGTCCAAACAATTCCTTCTTTCAAATAAACTTCTTGTTCCAATTTGAAGACGTGTTGATTGAATTGCTGTTGAAGCTTTTCATTCGCGTAATTTATAGAAAATTGCTCGAAGCTGTTTATGTCAAAGGTCTCGAAACCATAAATATCTAAGACTCCAATGAAACTGTCTTCATTCTTTCCACTCATTAAGTTTCTGTTTACAGTTTGCACGATAAAATGAAAAAGCTTTGAATAAAGATGTTTAGCTAAAGCATCACGAGCTCCTTCAGCTGATGATTTATTCATTGGAATCATCACGGTATCGTTGATTGATTCAATTTGACGTGTTGTTAACCATTGCAATAAATCGTCTTTGTCAAGTCTCAAAATGTCACTGACGATGTTGAGTGACAAATCGTTGCTTGCAATGCTACACGATTCGTAATCTTCTTCATGGTTTCCTCCAGTTCTGTGCGTAATGTTAATGTTACCAAGATGTAAAATTCCAGCAAGAATTCTCACGATACTATTAATCTCATCATTACTAAATCCTAAAGTTGTTAATGCGTCAAGAGTTTCATCGAACTCTTTTTCATCGGAAACTTTTGCAATGTCTGGTGATTCACCTTGATTTAAGAATTTAAACTTATCTTGATGTTCCAACATAAGTTCGGGATATTTATTACGACCAGCACAAATTTGATAAAAGATATGATAGTTTCTTTCCCCAGGCGCTTGAAATACAACACGAGACTTCTCCAAAAGATATGTTTGCATTGTAGCACCTGTCAATGACATCATTGAAGCTTCATTTTGGAATAAGAGTTTTGTGAATTTTCCAAATCTCGAACTGTTATCATTGCGTGTTGTTTTGGCATTTCCAATAGCTTCCATGATCGGACTACTTGCTAAAACCTTTCGTTCGATTTGTGTCTCTGATTCACTCCCACCAACGGCTGCAAAATATCTCATAGCGTATTTGGCACTGACAGTCTTTCCAGCACCTGATTCACCACTCACAATGATGCTGATGTTGCTTTTCTCACGCTCAAGTTCAGCGTAAGCTTCTTCTGACACTGCAAAGATATGTGGTTCCAATTCGCCAATGGCATGGCCACGATAAGCTCTGATGATATCTGAACCATAAATTGGAAGATCTTGATATGGATTCAATGCCACAAGGACAATCCCACAGTATGTGTAAATAACTTGACGTTCTTTAAAGCGAACTTCAAGATTGTAAAGAACATCAGGTTCGTGAAGATATGAAAGTGCAGTCAAATCATTTTGACCGATTAGAATTGCAGGATTTCTTAGATGTGGAAGATCTTTTTCAGCATTGATTTTGATTTCGCGCTTTTCACCTTTGTCTGTTGTCACATAAACAATCGTGTCGTGTTGTTTGTAATCTTTTTCAAGAATCGCACCTTCCCATACAAAATCGACATTTGGAATCCATACGCGAGCACCCTTAATTATGAAATATATTTATGAATATACATATACCCAACTGATAAGAATAATCGTTTTTGTGTTTGCTCGCAGGTGAATGAGTCATTAAAAAATGTGCAAACAGTTTATTTTAATTCAAAATTCCGAATTTTACTGACGTAAAAAATTCTCATGCACTCAATAATACATTTTTTGATGTCAAGTTTGAGTTACAAAACCTTCAAGTATGAGGGCTTAATAAGAGATTTGTGACTTAGTTAATTCTCAAAGAACTTTAATGATAATGAACATAATAAAACCAGAAAAAAACCCAAGAGAAACCATAGTAATTCGTGTCAAATGTGAGTTGACGAAAATTATTTGAAGGCGGAAATTACAAACAACTACATTCTCTTTTAATGTTTTATGGGTCTTTCTAGAGCTGTCTATGCTATTGCCAAGTATCTTTCAACGAAGAAGTAAAGATTATTGTGTAAGTCGTAAATCCAAAAGTCACAAATTATTTTCTCACGATATTTACACAGAAATGACTCATCTTATCTTACCTTAACATATAACTCACTGGACGTCATATTGTTTAATTGATTTATCACCAAAACTTAAGTTAAATTCATTAAAATTGCAAATTAAGAAAATTAACTGAAAATTTTTTACAGCGAATTTCGCGTACGGCCAAACTGTGTTGACAAGAGGGTATGCAACTGTGTTGACAATAGGGTATGTAAGTAGCTGCGTTTTGTAGCCCTTCAGACGTACGTCTTTCAATACGTCCTAACGTAGTAACTCAGAAAGCAGACAAAATAAAAAGCTGCAGTATTTTTTATAAATTATGCTATAAACCTCATTTTTCACGATGGAGAATAAAAAATGGAAGCACGAACTTTTAATGGAAAACCTGAGAGCGAAATCTTCTCGATCTCTTATGGAAATAGCTAAGAGTACTCGATTAAATTTACTTGAAAGAAGGTAATTAAGAATTTCTTTGAAAACGACAGCAGACTTAAGTTGAGGCTACGTTTTCAGATTCAATATCGATGCTGTTGAAAAGCAAACACTTCAAAATGCTTTAGATAATCTCCAGAATAACATTCAAGTGAAAAATAGAGCCCATTTGATTGAGCGTTTGGAATCAATAACAAGACGATCTTTGCTTAAATTCACCGACAATGCAAACACAAATTCGTGTTTTATTTCCTCTGATATGTTTTATTTGGAAATATTGTTGGACCCTCAGTCAGGAAAAGTTAATGATGTGAAGGTGAATATTTTACATGTACGAATTGTTTAAAAATATATATAAATATAATTTATCGCTTAGGTACATCATGAATGTTCCAACGAATCGCAATCGGAGCCTCATCTAATTGATGTATTGAGGAAAGGAGATTTCATTGATTTTACACAACAACTTGAAGGATTCCAATCAATCTATCAACTCAATGCTGAGTCAAAAATCAAATCTAAAGCATATATTGCTATACAAGCTTTAGAAAACGACCTCTTAAATATATTCGGTTTGGAATGCATGCAAATGCAACCTGAGTCGATGGTTTTGAACTCCTCTCTTGGTCTTGCAATGAAACGTCAGGGTGGACATCCATTGAAACTTCTCTTCTTTATTCGACCAACCGAGCTTCTTAATCTTGAAATGAAACGAATGGACTCTTTAACAGATGCATTGCAAACTGCAAATTTTGCGAAGAGAATTATTGGAAATAGTGTTTCGATAAATTTAGAGGCTGCTGCTCCTTCGAACAAACTACAGATCACTTCTCTGCTTATAAAAAATGTTGGAAAATCTGACGCTCATTATAACTTCAATCCAATAAATCTTCATAACTCAACGATGCTTCCAGCAACATTTGTGTTGAGACTTAATCAAGCCATGCCAGTATCAACAGAGTTTATTGATGAAATTAAGAAAATAACAAATAATTTAGGAGTATTTGGTGACAGAAGCTCGGTGAAGTTAGAGAATAGTGATGATGAACGGCATGCTCCAGGATTATTAATCAGTATGATTGTCAATTCAGAATCTCAGGGATTATCTAATAATGCTCAGAAAGGATTATTTGTAACACTTGCTGATCAATCGCATTGTTATTTCATATCTGATAATCCAGAAATGACTGGTACGATCGTTAAAAGCATTCAATTCACTGAACCATCTCATGTCATCAAAATTGTTAAAATGCTTCGTCAACAAGCGTTCTTTAATGCTTTAATTGCATCTTGTGTTCGTAAACCAGCAGAGTGTCCCAATCTCGACTGCTTTATATTCGAAGTTAATGTTGTTTCGATGAGTTTCATTCAAGTTATTGTTGAACATCCTATTGAAGAGACTATCGTAACAGTGGAACTTGATATCTCAGATATTAGACGAATTAATGTAAAAATTAATGGAAGTGAACATCAATTCGATTCGAAGCTTGAAAATTATATTCTTCGCGTGTTTCAAAAAACAATGTCAATTCCCATGATTCTAAGATCACTTATTAAATATTGGGAAAATAAATCGCAAGATTTTCAACGTTTACAAAAGAAAGTTTTCAATAATGAATTTTATGATTCAACTTCGGATCCAAAACGTGGCGATACAAATGAGAAGAAAGATGAACGGGAAAGAAACTCATCAAGTGGAACAATTGACGCATCTTATAATGGAAATGGCAGTGGTAGTGGTAGTGTCAATAATGTTTCAGGAGCTTTTGATATTTGTGGTACAAATAAAAATGAGATCTTCTTTAAAACAGCGAATGATCAATCAAAACAAGTTCGTCATGATTTGGAGGTAAATATTGATATTTTCGATCAACAAAGAACGAGTAAAATGTCAAGAGGAATGGCTTTTGATTTGAATGATGAGAATGATGATCTTATCAGATGTAATTTGATGACTGAAGATATGTTGATTGATAATTCGCCATCGCCAATGTCAAGCAACAGTTCTGGCGATGTGGAGAAGAATTTGATTTTTCAAGCAAAAAATCGAATGCCATCACAGAAATCTTTGGATGTTTTTGAATTTAATGATCCATCACCACCACCAGCAGTGACAGTAATTCCACCTTTACAATCACCACTTGCTGAAGAAAGAAGCAAAAAAGTACCAACGCCAAGAGCGTCACCATCAACGATTTCTACTCATTCTCGAGTACACGACATTGAGATTATTCCATTAAAAAGCCAATCTCCAGTAACAGAGCCATCAATGTTAAGTCATGGTTCGATTTCAATCCATCCAATTAACAATTTCTATGAGAAACCGAAATCTGAGAAAAAAAAGAAAAGAAAGCGTGAAGATGGTGACATGGGATCACCAGCTGCTGTAAAGAAGAAGTTGAGTGATTCTCTTGGAAGTTCGATGGCAAATAAAAGTTCAGGAAGTGGTGGACAGTTGTTAGGTAAACCATCAGCAAGTTTTAAACCAAAAAAATCACCAGCAAGAGGACTTGAAGGTATTGATGATTCGACATTTATGAATTTTGGAGCTGAACAGGTAAGAGGTCACTTTATTTAAATGGATATGGAAAATATAACAAAATATTTGTAAAATGAAGAAACAAAACAAACAATAATTGGTGGATGTAAATTTAATAAACGTTCACAATGTCAAACCCTGAAGATCATGCATTTTCTTAACTATTTATTTACAGACAATCACAACTGTCACATCACCACTTCCATCTCCTCAAAGTTTATTGAAGAATTCCAGTTCAGCACAAGTTAATCGTAAAAGTTCGTTGAGTGCTGTCATAAACAAACTCAAATCTGAGATGAGTGACGCAATTGCGACATCTCATGGAGATGAAAAGAAAGGCGAATATCAAATAAAATCGAGTGGAAGTGATGGAATTAAAATAACTTTTAATAAAACAAAATCTTCAAAAAGTCCAAAATCACCTAAACATACTGGACTTAAACCTGGAGTAAATTCTGGACCAGCTTCAAAGAAATCTTCACAATCACATAAAAGTTCATCACAAAAACTTCTTTATCAGAAATCAAATTCATCGGGATCATTAAATCCACAAACTTTTACAATGTCGCCGAAATCATCGTCTCAACCAAGTAGATCGTCATCGAAGGAAAGATCGAAGGAAGGCAGCGTTAGTCCCATGTCTGGTTTTGCTGGCACATCAAATGATATGTTGAAGAATATGCTTAAAATGGCATCAACTGGACCACGTCCCGATGTAATAAAATCATTCGATAAAAACTTTCAAATCCCTAAATTATCATCGCGTGGGAAATCTGATGAGAAAACGTCATTTGAAGACAATTTCAAATTGATGCATCCACGATCAGCTCCAACGACACCAGTTCATCATCTTACACCTTCACCAACATTAGATTTTATGAGAGATGGTGGTGCAGGTGGAAATCTTTTCCAACCATCTATGCAGAATTCTTTCTTAACTTCAAATCAACAATTAAATAACAAATCTGTTAATCAAAATAAAAAACTTTTTAAGAGTGTCAGCTCGGAACATCTGCCTGGAGAAGAGAATGAAAAGTTTCCAAAATCAAGCGATAGTAATGACAATGATTTCCAGACTTTCCTTCGAGCTCAATCAAAAATGAACGATCAAGCTGTGTCAATGCAAATTTTCAAATCAATTGATTTGGGTGGAAATATGACACAAAGTGGAGGAAATCTTCAAATGAATGATTCTATGTTTAATGATGATGATTTGAGTTTCATACGAAACGAGATGTGACAGAAAGTTTTGCCTCAACTATCTTAGATAAGAACAAATAAAATTAATTTGAATTTCTGATAAAAAGCTATTGAAGATAATTTTCATATACAAACATTTCAGTTTGGTGCAGCTTTTATAAGGGCTTAACTTGATGGATAATGCGGAGATTTTTTAAGATTATTCTTTAATAAAAGGGGCTCTAGTTACTTTAATATTCGACCTTAAATTATTTAAAAGTTGCTTGATGTATTTATTCCTATCCTTAAACATATCATCGAAATTCGAATAAATATTGGAGATTTGATTTTAATTAGCTAAGTAAATTCCTGAATTTATTAAAAAAATAATCCTAATGATTATGATGAAATTAAAAACTATTGGCTAAAAATAATAAAATATAAGTTTTAAGCAGAAAATGTTAACATCTTTATTATTTATTTAGAATTAAATTGCAATGAAAGTTGAGATTTTTACATTCAATTTGTCATCCGCATTTTCACAAGCTCTGAATTTCCAATGTTGACTAATCTCTAGAAACTCAGATTCATGTGTGCACGCCAATATTTGCATCGTCCCCAAATGACTGCGGGATAACATGGACTTGAAATGCCATGGAATAAACGAGCCAATGCACGACCACTAAAAACATTTTCAGGATACATAAAAATCATTTTATGAATGTCTGAAATTATTTCACTATCTGGTGTTGTATCTTCTTCCTCCTCGACATAAACATCATTGGAAGATTAGTTTGAAAGTAATTGCGAATTAAAAGTTTTAATTTTTCAGATGAATCGATTGGAAAGTTGTTTGTTGAACATTGTCTATAATGTGAAAACGCTAAAGATGCTAAAGAATTGAAAAAATTTGAAGCTGAAAAGAGAGACAAGAAAACATGTTTGAATGTTAAAAGAATTAAATAAATGCACTCACTTGAATTAATTGAGTTTTTTCTTGTGATGATGTTCGCTTTTCTAATGAGTCGAGTACAGAATCAAGTTCCTCGTCAGTTAAATCACCAGGTGAACGTATTCCAAATCCTAAATCTGAGAAAGTGACAGTGATTGACGATCGCTTTGAAGCTCCTTTAACGACCGTCCATTCTAATTGCTTCAATCGATATTTCACAACGCCGCTGTCCCAACAAATTGCAGCAGCAACATCAACTACCGAAAATTCAATCGATGTCTCGCTCATCGTCAAATGCTTCTTTCGTCTTCAAATGAATCGCAATGGCCATGGCAAGTGGTGGAGATGTTTTTGCAATTTGTTTCAAATATTTAGGAGCGTCATATGAAATGATTTTGCAAGTTGTGTACGCGTTACTTAAAACTTTGATGTAACATTGTTCATGAAGTTCCAAATAACAAGCGGAATATCCAACAATTGAACTGTTTGATCAATCGAGAAGCAAACTTTATGACCTGGACAACATCTCGACTTTTGATTCGAACGAGTTTGCGATTGAGAACATGAACATGGAACGAAGACTTTTCTTAACAGTTTTCGAATAACATGACGATCAATCAAGTTTGAGTAAATGTGACGTCTCAATTCACATAAATCATTTCCTTTCGAATCAAGAAACACATGACAATGAGCATCCTTTCCATCTCTTCCAACTTCCTGAACATAACTTTCAAAGCTTTTCAATCTGTAATAACTGCATCTCATTTCCTTTCGAATAGAATTTTTGAGAAATCGTTGCTTTTTGAAGCATACATAGATATGCTTGATCTCTTTTTCACTAATTTCACTTTCAATATTTACGACAAAAATTGATGACAGTTGTTTGTTTACATATTTACGCGGCAAAAATGCGATTCGGATACATTTAAAATCCTAATCGCGAATCGAGTTTCTATTGTTTTATTTAATATTGGATGCTCGCTAAGAAGAACGCTCAAAATTCATATTCTTAATTTTATCTAAACTCTTGATTTTATTTTACCTTAATTTTAATAAAACCCCTGGTATCTAAAATGAGCAAAAGGTGGGCAAAGGTGAGATAAACATGAATTCTAAATATATAATAAAATACCTAATTTTGAAATTTAATAAACTTTAGGAAAAAAGACAGAAAGCTCAAGATCTACTTAAAAATTCTGATCAGTTTTCACAAAGTTCAAAAAGTTTCAACTGGAGTGACTTAAAACCTGACGATAGCCCTCAAAGTTTTGGAAAATTTACACTATCTGCATGTATCACAAATATAACAGGACAAAATGAAACTTTCAAGCCAGCAGAGGAGATGGAAGATAGGTTTAATGAAGATTTTTTAGAAAATCAAAGAGAATACGCGGCTATTCCTAAACGTGGATCGAATATTAATGAGTCTGAATGGACAAGACTAGATCAAAATATCACATTTCGACATTCAGGAATATCGTTCGGAGCATATGCTCAACGATTCAATGACTCGAATGATATTCGTCAACTTTATAGTCATAAATCTCCAGCACCGAGACGGAATCGAGTGCCATTCATTGATATGAAAGAAGAAGCATCTCCTGCTCCTTCTAATAAAGAATTAAATAAAAGAGTATATGATTTAGAGAATATGATTTTGGAATTAGCAAACAATAGTGAAAGAAACAAAGAAAATGAGCATCATCATGAACCAACAGCAGCCATGAATGGCAAAAAGCTTTATGCTGTTGAAAAAGTCCTTGATCGAAGACTGACAAGCAAAGGAAAGGTAAATTTGTTAAAAATCCTATTTTTTTTGTTTCCTTTAATTTTAATACTCATTTTTATAAAATCAGGAGGAGTACTTATTAAGATGGAAGGACTCCTGGGTCCCGAAAGAGTGTTTACAATGTGATGTTCTTCTAAAGGAGTTTGAGGATTCATATAATGAAAATAAATAAATAAACATCTACATCAGAAGAATTGATCGTGATG